AGTTCTCTCTATCTATCTATCTCTATCTCTCGATCTATCTCTCTCTTTATCTCTCTCTCTCCCTCTCTCTCTCTATCTATCTATCTATCTATCTCTCTGTCTCTGTCTCTCTTTGGCTCTTGCTCTCTTTTGTTGACACACTCCACTCAAGCCCTGGCAAAACAAATCACTGGAACATGTGACACATAGCCACACTGTGCTCTTGGTGGACTCCATACACTGAATCGTGCCTTCCAAGGAATGCTTTTAGTCTCAAGGATACAGTGTTATGTAGCCCCAGTGCCATGGTGCCAGAACTCAGTACTAATAATGCCAGAAAGTCCTAGTCTTTGCCGTTCCTGCACCCTCACCAGTACATTATAGAGAAGATTATAACTGGACAGCGATTCCTCGTGGTGGAATGCACACATGCACTCAGTTACATACATCACACACTTCAGTACCCGTTCTGACAATCCAGCCTCCCTCACACTACCAGTTACTCATAGAGTTATACTAGTTACTTTTACATTCAATGATTGGAAGGTGCCATATTTGGCAGTACATGTATAAAAAATGTTGTCAATGCATGGCACCGAGAAATATAAAAGCGCACCAGTTTACCATGGTTTCGCCCAGAGCTCCAGTCTACAGTCAGTCCAAGGTTACACCTCCACTCCTGTCCACTGACTGTACACTGTCCTTTACATGTGTGTGCTACTGGTACCCTATCTGGGCGCTGAAACAGGGCGCATACGGGTACTCGTACTTGACTTGAAGAAACGTTACTTCATACCTGTCGCACTGTAAAGCGCACTAGTTGTCTGTCCCTCAGTTGCCAATTTACACAGCAAATATTTGATAATTAGGTTAGCTCTGAGCCCATTTCTCTATGGATATTCGTTTTGTAGTGCACTAGTCAGCGGTGCATGTACTCAGGTTCTCGTTTCAGGTGGCCATTTCCCATGAGGGATTGATCCCTAAAATGTCCAGTATTTACATGTGTATGTGTATGTGCCTATGTATGTGATGGCCAGGTCCCTTTAGCACACAAGTACTTAGGCTAATTAAGTACAACTTCAGCACTTGGCTGAGTGATGCAGCTGCCCAATAATATGCCAGTGCCAGGGTCTGTTTTTTTCTTCGTCGTCGTTCTCCGTTCTCCTCGAGCTCATTCCACTCTCTTCACTTCAGTGGCCCTTGACATCTGAGATCAGGGCCTGGGGACATGTCCTCAGAATGTTGTGTGACGGTGCTATCGTTGTGGTTGACGTACTACATAATGCAGTGCTTCTGGGGTCAAGACGACTTTCTCTGGCGAGCTGGACTCTGGCTTCTGATGGCGCGGGTGCTGCTGACCTGTTGTTTTGTGTGTACTTCAGTTCAGACCTGCTGTATATCAAGAACCAAAAAAAGAAATCCGCGTCCTTATATGTTAGGCTTGGCCGTTGCGATGACACACGCAGCCGGTAGGTCTTCACCATGCTTTTAGAAGTCACAAGTGTGCTAGTACATGATTGTACTGCTCCATAGATTCTATGATACTTGTAGAGCGTCCCAAGTGGGACAGTCCTGAGTCCTGACGCTACGCACTTGTATTGCCTTCCTGTTCAGCTTGCACCTGTCAGGATGTCCTTGGCTTGGGAGTTGGCTCGTCCTGCCTGCGAGTGCGAGCACTAAAATCTATACAGTGTACTACATAACTAGTACTACACTTTTTTATGGAGCTTGCGCATCTTTTAAAAAGCAATACTCTTTCAGTTTACACCTCAGTGATTTCCGCGTGCAGCGTGCTGCCGCTTCGAGCCATTACAGACGCTGACGGTAGAACCTACATCGGATGATCCGCGTAACAGTGTCAGTGAAACTAAGTAATTAGTTACTTCAGCATGACGCACTTCCGCCGTTCTGGGGACGTAACAATCTGCACCTTATAGCGGGGGCACTGTATATCCGAGGTCAACGGACTGCCACTGGACGTAGGTCTACGTCACGGGTGTTTCGCAGTGGCCACTCGTCAAGATGGCTGCAAATCCGAGAGTACAACAATTTCGACTCTGGCTATGTGCGCGGCGGATGCGAATCTCGCACGTGCATGCAAAATCTAGCCTTCTGCAGATCTGGGTAGAGCAAGTGTGTTGGAACGACGACCTTTTCCGAGAGAGAATGTGGCTCTTTTCATCCCAACATTTTACTCGCCACGCTCTCCCTCCCAGCTTATTGGTACGAGTATCTGCTACCGAGTAGAAGTCTCCATCTTCACAGCAGGCCAGGCAAAATCGCAACGTTGAAATACTTTGCTCACTTGGTTTTTTGGTCCTTTGAGGTGTTGATGTGGTTGTTGTGTACAACTCGAAGTAACAAACTTGAGACCCCCGCGCCACAAAAAAACTAAGGCGCGCCACAAAGTTTCGTTTGGCTGTTCAATGAAAGGACGTATGGAAGCAGGGATAAAAACTATCGTGGCTGCCGGCAAAACTCTTAGTAATGTAATAAACGGGGATGTGACTTTGGTAATTCCAAGGAGAATGTACGCACGGCCATTCCACAACGAAGACGAAACTACGAGCTCAAAAACACTCCGATTTTCAAACAAACGACACAGGAAAGAAGATATGGCCGCAGTGTTCCCGTGTGGCCTTCAAAACACCTAATTTTACTCCGATAGCGGCTGGTTCAGGGCAAATTCAGGCCCAATTCGACAGCGTCGTACCGCTCAGATTCGCCCAAAACATGAGGAAATGTACGGTAGATCCGAATGCGTACGCATTTTGCGTACGGGGACGACTGGCCAGAGTTCATGCACTGCAAACACCCGTGACGTGTATTTTACTTCAACCCGCAGGCCCTGGCAACCCCAGCCTTCCACAGCCTGCCTAGCTTTTTTTCTATTTTTTTTTTACTTGAAATCACATGCTGGCAGCCAGGTGATTTAGGAAGAAACTCCATGAAACTTGAAAGATTCGAAGAGCTGCGCTATCGCGCCTCCGCTTGTGCCGAATCTCCATTTTCTTCTTGGCGGTGACATGCAAGGTGCATATTAAGATGATTGCACAAATCATTCCTACCTAATGCCTAATGGCTTGATGATCTTCATATGGTTACCATGGTTACATAGGAGATAAGGCACGCACATACAATGTCATGATAATAATTATCATAGTGCTGATGCTGTCTATCATGGCTGAACGAAGGTGTTCAAAGTCTTCGACTGCTGAAGTGCAATTGTTGACGCTTGATAGTGACCCGACTGGATCCCCGAGGAGAAGATGTTTTTTTACAATAATTATTTCTAACAGTGCCAGTACAATGTAGAATAGATTTCAGCATAATGATCCTTATACAGTAGTCATGTACTTAACTTAAGACATACATGTACATGTATTAGGTATGCAACGTTACCACGTCATGCTCACGATTGCAAATGCATGCATTGCTTGTTACTTACTGCTTTGTGAAATGTGTCCTAGGCTAGTCTGCTAGACGCATGCTGCCTATTGCCGTACTAAAAGCTCTGCCATTTTTGCCTGAAATCAGGCAATACATTCAGAAGACAAGCGGCCACATACTAGTATTAGTAGAAGCAGCCCTTGGGCCTGGCACGAAGCCTGCATAGATCCGATCACGCCTCTCTTTTGACTGGTATGCAAGCCACAGAATCTTTACACGTACAATGTATCTATCTTGGATTCACACTTCGTCGTTGCTACTGCAATTACGTCGATGTATTGTGATGAATTCCAACACTACACCCAGAATCGTGACATGTATCTGATTCATGTACACAGTGGATGTACACGAAAATGGGGGAAGGACCATAGCCCTAGGCTACCGGGCCTAGGTCGGTGGTGTGACGAGAGAGGAGCGTTGCGTGTCGCCCCCGCCGATACAACAATACGCAGGTCCGAGTTGGGGCGACTCACGGCGCGTACACACCGTGCTAGGCCTGTCCTTCGTCTCCATGTCAGGCTGCAGGGAACCGGATATCTACATAACTGGCGACCGCCGCATAAGCAGTGCAATGACTATGTAGAGCAGACGTACATGTACATCTTCATTGCTTATCCAAGTAACAGTTTGTGGTGCAAGTGTTGTGCCTGGTGGCGGATGTCGGTGTTTTCCTTTCACACGCTGCACGTACATGTTCATAAGTGTTTATGACAGTTATTGGCAACTTATTGCGGTAACTTTCTGCTATTAGGCAGCTGCTGCCTGATTTGTCATCGCCCAAACAGTATTCACCTGGATTGCACTGGATGATTCCGCCCCCCAGTCGTTACAAAATTAATTACTAGTATCTTGCCTTCTTGACTGACGTCACTAACGGAATACCGGTAGAGGCCCGATGCCTACTGAGTACTGACAGTACTGCTGGGTCTGTCACATGTGCAGACTCAGTGCTAGTAGTGGTCGTTATCGTGGGACTGGTATGCTGCGTCCATCATCATTCTGTGTCCCACCTCGTGCCTGTACTAGGCTGTAGATGTACATGTACATGACCACAGTGTACATGACATGACCCCAGGTAACTGGTTTTGCGTCTGGATACACTGCCATGTAATGATCCAGTACAGGCATGTTTGCCACTATGCAGTGTCTGGGATATAACAATTACATTACTAAGTATTCAGTCTTCGACGAGTTTCCCTTCTGCAGCAGCGAGGGCCCATGTCCAGCACGGGTAAAGTGGATCATGGAGCCCAGTCGTTTGACCTCGGATCAGTATATCTGATGTAAAATATAAACAAATGAAAATCGGGTGGAACAAAGAGTGACCATCAGGAGACTGGTGCTATACTGCGGGTTGTGTGGTCTCATTCACTATAGCCAGTATAGGTATTGTCCCATGGCAGGTATATTATGCAATGCTAGTGTTTCAGCGCGAAGGCAGTGTAAGTGATTAGTATAATCATAGTACTACACTGTATGCGGGCACTGTGACCGGTAGTCAAGGTTCTTCTAATATGATGACATGATGTAAAATATACAAATGAGAGTCCTCCGGCTCGGTAGAGTGCTCAATATTCGTTCCGAACGGTTCGAATAGAGCAATCTTACACACGCTGTCTGATGATTGCCTATGGGCATGAAACTGGTATTAATAGTATTACATGTAGTTACAACGAGCGATGCTTGGTGCTCTGTGCCGTGTGTGTGATGTAAAATATAGATGTTTACGTACCTTGTGCTGACGCTTCACTCTAGAATGAGATGATTACATCGAGGGATGCTCAGCGCGGATACTGGCCTAGGCGACGGTTCTAAGCTGAGCCCACCAAGGCACCATAATGGTACCTACATTACATGATTGCACAAACCTTGCCTACACTAGTACCCGGATAACTCAAGGTAGGTGTTGAGTTGGCGGTTGCAAAGTTCCTCAACCAGCTCACTGCTGAGTTGAGTAACGTTATTTCTCACTGCAAGCCTTGCCACGCGATGATTTCCCTGGAAACGTTGGGTTCACTTGCAATGATTCGGTCCACGACTCCGCGTAGATCTATGTGTACATACACATCCGTCACGACATCAGCGAGGTTCCCGTTGCACGCACGGGAAGGAACACTGTCGCAGACTGCGAGGGATATGCTGCTCTCCCCCGCTTCCCGACAGGCCCAGCATCAGCATGCAGCAGCGCCTGCGTTTCTGGTGCCGGCGCTGACTGGAGAAGGAGGTGGGCAGCTATGTGTAACACAACTAACACCAACACTAACAGTCGCTGTATTCCAGTGTGATCACAATAGATCTTCGAATCATTGTTCGTCTTCACACTATATCAGTCTTCAGACCACTACAATGGTTATGTTGTAATGGTCTACACACTGTACACATTTTTACTTCAAAGGTATGATGGATCGACTGTCTGTACTGTGTGTACATGTGCGCTATGTAGATCTACCAAGATGCCGTCTTCGTACAGTGGACGCTGGTCATGCACAATCGCCACGACCCCAGTGCCGTTCTGGCTGTTGAGCCGAGATATCGTGCTTGCGCCAAACACATGATGGCTGTGGCGGGCCACACGATACTCCTGCCTTTCTCTACCAGTTGTCTCCTCGCCCTTTCGACTTGCGAATAGCAGAGCTGCGCGATGTCCAGATCTCTGTACTGGCACACAGCGACTCGAGCAAGTGTGTACTCTGCACATACAGCGTCTCATGCACTGGCAAGAAGACTCACAACTAACGTGCTTGGCACAAGTTATCACCGTCTCTCGCTGTGCGATTTTCGAGAACATAGGCGATGTGTTACTTGTTCAAGTTGGTGTATTAGACTCTTCAGAGTGGTGGGCTTTTCGTGTCGGAAACCCTCCTGGAGAGGGATTATGCTGCGCTCGGCGTGAAAACTGCATTCTTTGCTGGTTGGACGTTACTAATGTGTCTAGAAGGGGTGGGCTTGTTTAGAAAATGAGAGATTTTGGAGAAATAATTCCACCTCCGCGTCCTCCACCTCCCATTCATCGCTGCTCACATCCAAGGGCAACGTTTCTCAATGGCAAGGAGGATGCCAGCGTGTTCGACTTCCAGGCTAGTAGGCCACCTCAGCCGCTGCCTAAAACCAAGCGTCGCTTGTGCTCGACCAAGACTTTGCCCGCACGTCCGCCGCCACCTGCACGTCCGCCACCGCCGGTCGTTACCAAAGGAATAATGGATCCTCTGCTGGTGAGGAAGCTGTACCGTGCCTTGTCGTCGCCTTCGGAAGCTAGATCGCCTCAGCAGTCGACAGGTCAGTCGGAAGCTAGAGCGGCATGTTCACCTAGCTAAACATTGACATGTGTGTTGACATGTTTTCTTACTGAACGTGTTTTTTTTAACTCCTCAACCATGCACTTCAAAAAAACAGGGTGATCTATTTCTTTTGACAATTAATTATTTGAGTTTTGCTAAGTTGAGGCCGAAGCTTCACATGGTTACCTTGGCGCGGCGCGGGACTTCATGTCGTTTCAATGCATTCCAAATACTTCCGTATTCATGGGATTGTCTTTCGTCAAATAATTGCAAAGACGTGGTTTTCACGCGAGCGACAATACCAATGGAACCATTAAATCATGTGCAAGCAGTGCTCCAGCCATTGCATAATGTAGGCATGCAGCAGCGCTGTTGCTCTCCTTCTGCCATTGTATTAATTTGTAAACAGTTGTCCTAGCCGTGCGAATCGTAGAGTTGTCGCTACATCAACGCCGAATAATCATGCGTTGTGGCCGGTGGTCTGGCAGCACGTGAGAACCCCTATCGTGGTTGAGACGCGTTTTATATATATATTATGTGCATTGGGTCTTCAAACGCTCCAAGCTAAGACATGCAGAACATATGTGTGGGCTTTTGATCCTCGTGGGCACGCATACAACTACTTGATCATACACTAGCGGTCTGTTTTCGTCACTATTCGCTTTCTTCCAACTCGATTCAAGCTGACTTGACTTGAATGTCAGTCGCCCGCGCCCGGTTCTGTATTGGATGCGTTGACGCGTGTGTACGCTATTACCTCTGCGCTGCACATTTCAGGAGACCTCTGCAAGCCTTTGTGGGTGATTTATGAGGAGGGCATCGGTCAAGCTGAGGTCTTGTTACAGATAATACCGGCAATTCCACGTGACAGTTTACAACCTCACTTCGCTATCTCCAGGAAGCTGCGGGCCTCTGTAGCCCTAGTGTAGGGCCGGGGAGATGTGCTGCTTGCAGGGCTACTGCTGTATCGTTTGCCCCCGGTTCACCTTCGCCTTGTTTGCTGCTTCATTTGTGGGGTGCCAGTCTCGCTCACTGATATCAACACAGTGGCTAGAAGCGGCCGCATACCTCCGCCTGCCTTATCTGCAGTCGTCGTCGTCGTCGATGACGATCTACGTGAGCGCCTGGCGTGCATGCCGACCGCTGCTACCGATCTGCCTGCATCATGGAGCAACTACCGGTCGACGGCGCGGCTAACAGTGAGTTGTGCTGTAGAGTCCCCGTGCAACGCCACGGGTCGGTGTAAATCCAGCGTGTAGGTGTGCTTGCTGCATGGGATGTGTTGCTTTTGCTGGAGCGCGCTTTTTTCTGAAGGTGTTGAGGCTTGTGCGCGGGCGAGTTTTCTCCTTCGTGGGACAGAGCGCCCCTGGCTCGTTTGAAGCTTACCCCCAGACAAGGGTAGAGTTCGCGAGCGCTACACCAGCTTTTTGCAGTCAGCCTCAATCCGAAAGTTGTCGGTAGTTGAAAACTATCGCGCCTTCAACATTGAAACTCGCGTGCTCTTTTGAATCGTGGTTGTCGTTTGACGGAGGGAAGGTCGTGTGAAGGTACTATTAACCTGGAGTCGGTGTGAAGTGAAGAATGGCAGCCTGCCTCTCCTCTCCTCGAACATCCACCCTGCCGAAGGAGTTGGTGCCGTACACGCCTGCTGGCACGCTGCCACCAATGTGCAAAGGTAAGAGACTAGTATCATTCTTCTGACTGCTCGCACGTGTGCAAGAAAGTCTGAGGCGAGAGGCGATCATGTACAGTAGATCTACTCGTAGTGCTGTGCTCGCCACATCGATCTGACCTTGCAGATGGATGAATGTACAACGAGCGTCGCGGACATCCACAACTGTCTGCAGAAACGCAACTGTGAAGAGACCTGTCAGCTAGAGATAGCCTGTATGGAGTGTCCGCAAATTGCCAGCTTTGCAAGGAGCACAGATGGCGCTCTTGATCTTGTCACTGAAGATCAGATGGAGACTACTGCCTGCTTGCGACCTCGCTCGAGCGTTTTTTTGTGTTGTGACTTGTGTTCCTAACGTAACGTCGTTACTTTGCGTGCTGTCCATAAAGGTTTGCGTGCTGTCCATACAGGTTCGTGTGCTGCGTTGCCCGGAAAGATTTCAGTTGCCAGGAAGAAATGCCCTCGTCCTTTTCTAGGCTGTGTCATGTGTGACATACGCGCGCTTGAGGATTCACCCACGGCTACGGTCCGTCCTGACTACATTTCGTATATATCCGCGTTCGACTGTGCTTTGTAGTCGCGAGCGCGAGCAAGCACTTCACAGATGAAGTGTTTGCTTTCAATACAAATTATTGCGGATCGCTCAGAAGTGATGAGCGATAACGTGTGGACATTTATCATGTTAATCCTGGCCCGCTGTGAGCATTTCCCAGCCTAGACGCCTGGCTATCAGCTGTTACCAGGTTACAACGCGGAAAGAGTGTGTGTCGAACACAGCTATTGCTGTACGTGGCGGTCACTTCAGCTCAGGTAGACCGCGCGCTCTGTCCCACACTCTCTCTAGTGTCAGGTGGCAGGGGAGGTAGCACGAAAAGGGTTGGCCTGAGCAACACCAGACACCGTGAAGTGCCTTCAAGACTGTTGTACTGCTGCTGCCGCGTGTCACTGCTGCAGTACAGCAGTGTAGATCTGCTGGTTTTGTAAACAGCATTGCACGCTTGTGTTGTAATAATTATACTTTACATCGTGATGTAACATAATTGTTGATCGACGTTAATCGATTAAACGTGTTGGTGCATACGTGGACAATGCAAGACTGCAAGTACATTGACATGAACTGCCAGCCCTGGCATGTCACTTTCTGAGTCTCTCCCAGCCAGGCATAGATTTACAGACTTGGCTGTACTGGGTAACAACACGACTTATTTTCACGACGGTATTTAATTCAGCTATGAGTGGCTTGCAGCTCCCTCATCAAAATGCGTGGTTGGTTTAATTGAATGCAGTAGTGGCAAACATGTTACAGTATTTCTGTACTGAATGTCTGTACAGAAGAGCTAATACAGGTATAGCAAAGCGTGGATTTCATCTATCCATATTTTTTCCATTTTCAACACGCGAGTCACCTCTTTTTCTGGCACCCTGTTGGGGGGGGGGGGGGGGTAAGCGAGGGGCTTCTGTAGAGGTATTCACAATGCTGCATGTGTATTCACCGTTCATTGTCTTGACATCGTGTTCTCTGTTGTCGTGCTCCTCCTCCACAGTGGAAGGCAGGAACTTGCTGCGGCAGCGCAATGCTCTCCAGCGCGTCGGTGCTGGCGCATCGCCACCACCAGCCTCCGACCGGTCTACAACACGCGTGGCATCTCTCTCACCGGACTCGCCCGCCGAGTCGCCGATGATGCTGCGCAGCACCAAGCGCCGGTCGTTCAAGGCGTCCATTTTCCGCATGATCGGCTCAAACACGCGCAGCACGAAGACCGTGTCTGCCGATGACCTGGATGGTAAGCCACACGGTACTTCACACACACAGTGCTTCATACACAGTACTTCACACACAGTACTTCACACACAGTACTTCACACACTAGAGTCAGGACCGCCGGAAGCAGTTTTAGGTTGGTCCAGCCATGCCATAGCTCTTACGTACGTGGTGTATGATATAGCATGAACCCGTGCCCTCCTCAGCAGTACACAAACGCTGGTGGCCACAAAGTTGGTCCGATGATGACCTGACCAACCGGACCGGTTCCGGCGCGCCTGAGAGTACCTAGAAATGAGAAAGGCAATGATGGTTGAGGATGGCTTCTACAATCGTCGCCAAAAAAATCCGGCCAATGCCGATGCAGTGGTATGGTGCGTGGACACGTACACGGCGGTGCCGCATTGGTTTCATGCATTATTTTACCCAGTCTACCAGCACTGCACTGAGTATAGATTCCGTGATGTAATCGATTTCTACGGAAATCTGTTTGACAACCTGGAGCCATAGTAAAGTGGCATGCCGATTTTTTTCAATAATCCGTTCAAGGCAGTAGGTATCGACGATTTCCACTTTTCAATTCCCACCTGTGTGTGTGTATCTCCCTGTCTAATGTATTACCTTGGTAATTGGTGTGTGTGTGTATGTTGTGATGATTTCAGCCCCCATCGACACCCTCTCTCCCTCGTCGTCAACGAACAGCTCTTTGCCCCGTGTGAAGAGTCTGCCCGCTGTCAGTGCCCTTGCGGCCACTGATGGCCAAGCTACAGCGGAAGGAACCGATGACAAGGCCAGTGACAAGGACAAGAAAACACTGAAGAAGAGCAAGAAGAGTAGGGATAAGTCAAAGGACAAGGAGAAAGCCGACAAGAAGTCCGAGAAGAAGACGAAAGAAAAGGAGAAGAGCGGCAAGGATGAGAACAAATCACCACGAAAGGACAGTCTGCCGTTGTGGGCGCAGAGCTCCAGGGTGTCGACGTCTTCGTCCAAGTCCGGAACGGCTAGCACGCCTGGAAGCGTGTCTGTATCTGTGTTCTCACCGCCCGAGGAAGGCTCCAAGTCCACCATGCTGGTGCAGGGCAGTAGCAGTACATCGGACAGCAATCCGTCGACGCCGGTGTCCGCATCGGGCAGCAGTGCCACGGGGAGCATCAACGGCTTCGCTAAGCCCGCGGACGCAAAGGCCCAGCAGACACCAGCCACTCTGAATCGCATGAAAGAGGCACCAATGGGTCTGGGTCTCGGCGAGGCTTCAGCAGCCCCCGGCAAGCCACCCAAGAAGCCCAAACCTGCCGCTCCCAAGACCCTGGGAAAGCCGCCGATATCTGAGAAGCCACGGCCTAAAATCAGCCGCTCCAAGTCAGCCTCTCACACCGCCAACAAGAAGATCGACACATCTCCACGGCCGATGATAACACGGCAAAGTAAGTGGCTATCTGTGCGGCTTACTCCGTAGCTATGGCTCTACCGGTATGATAGTGAAATTGGTGCATTGGTAGGTAGAACTAGTAGTGTGGGCTGTGACGATTGTGCAGCGACATGGGCCACAGTCAATTCAGATTTTGTTATGCAGTAAAACTCCCCCAATCCGGGCAGGCTGGGACCAAGCACTGCCCAGAACTAGGAATTGCCCAAAACTCAGAACATACAAACAATCTACATGTCATGTAGAAATGAAGACCAAGGAACTACAAGTTACGTTATAATATCCACTAACACCACCAGTTACTTTGCAATCAGCTCGTGCGATAACATTGCACGACACTCGCCAACGGTACTGACGTTCTACACCTAACTGGCAATCAGCAGTTCCTTGGTCTTCATTTCTTCTTGTAAATTAATCCTTGGCTCTCCACCAGAGTCTATTTATACATACATATACTTAGTATTGCATGCATGCAAGTAAACGTTTTTGAATTTTTCATACCGATCAATAGTTTTGGGCCGTTTAAAAGCCAATTCTGTGACTTGAGATCAGTCGGAAAGGTGCCCGGATAGACAGACGTGCCCGCATTAGGGGTGTGTGGATTAGCGGGGTTTAACTGTATATCCAAATTAACTGTGTGATCCGTGAAGCCTCGATTGAATCTGCAGATCGATGATATGTCACCGACTTACCGGTCACCCCTGCACTTCCAATCACCACAGGTGTATCAATGCTGGATGATGGCCTTGAGGCTTAATGGAATGCACCTAAGCAACTAATCAAAGGCCGTACACAAGTTTCAATACATCGTTTGAATTCTGTTTTCTTCTTCAGATGGTCATGCATACTCCTCCACCGACTCCGAGCCATCACGCGAGGCCACACCATCACCAGATCTGTTCTCCGAGACCCTCACTGCTCAGGTTAGCGTCACCTCTGCAAACCCCTCGGCCTGTGTTAGCAGTTCATCTGGAACGAGTGTGTTTGCTTCGGCGGGTGAGGCCACATCGGCCGGCGAAGTGGGATCCGGAGGTCGTGAGAAAGTTTCACCGTGTGCTGGTGAGTGAGAGCGTGTAACACTGTATTTGTCTAGCTGTCCTGCTTTCTCACTCTCGCTCTCGCTCTCTCTCGCTCTCTCTCTCTCTCTCGCTCTCTCTCTCTCTCTCTCTCTCTCTCTCACTCACTCACTCACTCACTCTCTCTTTGTTTCCCTCTTCTGTCCCCACCCGAGTCATTTTTCCACCATGTTGCATTCATATAAATATTATGTGCTTCTTCCCTCTATACTCTTTCCCCAAGAATTGCTTGCCCAAACTGTTCACCCTATTCACTATTATGCACTGTGTGTGCTAACTTCTCTTGCTTGTGTTTATGGGTATGTGTATAGGTGTATTTGCATGTCTGCGCGTGTGCGTGCGCGTACCTGTTGACATGGGTGTAAAACGTCAGGCGAAATTACTGGTCAGTCGGCGACACGCATTTTTCACAAAAATTTGCGTTTCACCTGCTGGGAGAGTATGCGTGTACTCGAGTCTCATCCTGAGCACGTTTTTTTCTTCTTTTTTTCAGCTCCAGTATAGCTGTATTTTTCATTGCAAAGCCGTCCTCGATTGTTGTGTTCGTTGTTCAAACGAAGTGGACATTCACTCATGAAGGCAGAGGACATAGGAGCCTGATTGGAGTTTCTCGTGGCATAGGACGGCCACACGGAGACACTTTGGGGTTTTCTGAATATAAAATACCGTACGCACGATGCTGAGATCAATTTGTGCGATATCAAATTGTTTGTGATCTACCACATCCAGCAGAACGGGATCCAAACACAAGCTTACCGACGGTTAGGCTGCCGACCTGACTGGACAAATGATCCCTGGCTTCACCCGACGCCAGAAGTCGGACACCATGTCCTTTGCCGCGACATCCATCTCCAAAAAGAACTCCATCTTCGTCGTGAAAAGGCTTGAAATACTCAATATTCAACCGAGATTCGCGGTCTCACCCTTTCTCAGATCGAATCATTTTTTGTTGTAGCAGTTGCAGGGCAGATCCCCGCCACTACTTCAACAGGCGATGGCTCCAAAGCATGCCTGGAACAAGCCATGTCGAGGTTGCAAGCCACCCGTCTCAGCAAAAAATCGAAGAAATTCGAAATTTCAATGGTGGAAGATATACTATGAAGAGAAATTCAAAAAGTATGTTTCGCGGAGCGATCGCTCAAACTACGTCATTCAAACTTTGCAGGATGGTTCAGACGTACATGCTAGGCATGGAACCACAGGCGATGATGCCATAGCTGACACACAGAGTAACACACACAGCAGATTCGTGTGCACAGATACTAAATTAGTGGACGTCGTCATCTTCTTCCCGCTGATCTCGAATGTACTATGACGTGCTATTTCGCCTGACGAATTCTTGCGTGTGTGCATGTGCGTGTATGTGTATGTGCATGTCTGTGTATAGCAGACTTGGCGGAGGACGGTCAGGTTGATTGTAACTCCTGACCTGAACATCCTCTGCTGAGTTTGCTATGTTCTAAGTTCTGTCTCTGACATTGAGTACTCTATGCAGCTCTCTAGGATCAACGGACTGCATGTTTGTGTGTGTGTGTGTGTGTGTGTGTGTGTGTGTATGTGTTTACGCTTCAGGACGTGATAATGAGTCTGGACCTGGACCTATGCTCTACCAGACCTGGCAGTTCGTCTCCACCAGTTCGGAACAGGACGACACGTCGGAAGGGGACACGCCAACCAGTCCCGTCCGTCCCCCCACCGCCCGCAAGCCGGCCGAAGAGCAGCTTCACAGAATGCACTCGTCCATGCGAGTCTCGGCACGGCGGCACGACAAGAAGAAGATGCGCTGGGAGGAGCAGCCCAAGGTACATCACCATCCGATGACCTCATCACACAATTATTTTGAAGTAGATGACCTCGTCATTAGCTGCGCTAGCATTTTGGTTATGTGCTTGCTGTATCTTTACCTGAATGTCTGTGTGTGCACGTGCATGGGTTTGCATGCATGTGTGTGTGTGTGTGTGTGTGTGTATGCATGCACGCACGAGCGCAGAAATAGCATTCCCTGTGATGCAGAAGTGAAACAGTGATGTGCATATCTGACATGTTTACCTTGTCACCTGCCCGCTGCTACTCGTGTGCAGATCTTTTTCATAACTCCAACCAACTGCCACCCTGTCTTTGTCCTTGCTTAGCATAGCAATGTTTCCAAGGAGAAAGCTGTTTTTCTGTAATGGTATTGCTAATCACCTTCAAAAAAATCCCAGACTATGTGATACACCTGGGAAGTGTCGGTAATACAGTTTTCCAGGATGCTCATAGTGTTTGTCCTGATCCCTGTACTACTTCCCCTGCAGGTCCGTAACAGCCAATATATCCCCGAAATGACAAAGGAGGAGCAGCAGCTGCAGCAGGTAGGACTCTTTTCAGCATTATCTCTACTAGATGCCGGTTCTTGTGTTGGCAGCAATGTATATCTCAATGACATACAGATAAGCCTTCGCGTAAGCTATTGCAAGGAATCAAACCAAGAGTCACATCTGCAAAACTAGGTCCAAGATAGTGATCTATGACAGGAAGTTTGTAACCTAGCTGTGCACTGATTCCTCTGTTACCACCCATCATACTGTCATCTGTCATTTGTGGACGTGATATCCCACAGATTAGCAACTGCAGCAATATCATGTGTGCTTCCCCCTTCATTCTGTTTTGTTTCCCGTCCAGCGCTACTTTGAAGTTGTGTCGTCCGAGCGCTCGTACAACCAGAGCATGAAGGTGCTTGTGTCGCACTTCATGGAGTCGGAGGCGCTCTCGCCGGGGCCAACCCCTGTCATAGACCCAGCTTGTCGCCACTCGCTGTTCTCCAATGCTAAAGCTCTGCTGGACGTCAGCGACCGGTAAGGCCAACTTGTAGCTCACCAATACAGTGTATTGGTTGTTGTATAAGCAGGTTGTATAAGCAGGGACGTCGGACACGCTACGGTCACTATGGTATTGATCACATCACTCCTTTCCCCAGGTGCCCATGAAATCAATCGAAATCGCGGATTTCGGCTGTAAATTTCAAAAATATTCAGCAGAGCCACCCCCTCCCAACAATTAGATTGTACCGGAGATGGCTGACCGTACCACCTTAAATTAACTTCCGACGTCCCTGAGTCGTGCATAAAAGCTCGTGGGGGTGTGATTTTCGTTCGCTTTCCACCGCAGCTTGGTCTATTTAACTGAACTGTATTGTGTGTGTGTGTGCTCTGTTTGCGCACATGCCCGTGCGTGTGTGTGTGTGTGTGTTAGATTTCTTGCCGAGCTAGAGGAACGGCTGCAGGAGAGTGTGGTCATCACCACCGTCTGTGACATCATCAAGCAACATGTAAGCAAAGATTGCCTATGTGTAAATACGCGTATGCTTTGCGGGTATGTGCTTGTGTGTGTGTGTGTGAGGGGGGGGGGGGGGGGGTATGTGCGTGTCATTGTGTATCAGATAACGCTGTGTTGGGCACTGTCAATATTCTTAGTGTGTCAGTTTCAACTCAATTCCAGCACAACTATATTCCCGTGTGTGTGTTTGCTGTATTTCGTATGACCAAGTCTCAGACAGTGGATTTGTCGACTCCTCTGCAGCTGTGTTTATTGCTGAATAACGTCATGGTGGTAAAGACACATAGTTTTGACAAAATCGCAGTAAACACATGCCTGCCCACACCCTGGCACAGAGCTCTCCTTCTCGCCACCACCGCCACTATCACCACCACCAGCACTCTGCCTCGGACGAACGATCCAAAACTCACAACTGAACATACATCTCGTATTGCTCTCTTTGTTGTGTGCTGTTTCTCAGGTGGAGTGCTACTTTGAGCCGTACGTGCACTACTGCAGTAACCAGGCCTACCAGATCAAGACACTGGAGAGCTTACTGTGAGTGGGCTGAGATCAGCTGAGAACACATGACGTAACAGTTACATGATTGTAAAGTCGAATTTGAAAACTATGCCACGATTGGCTTGCTAAGTTCACACTCCTGTTGTACGTCTCATCAGAGTTCTACTGTCTATGGTTATCACGTATCGCTTACCAGTAAAGCATGTTTATGGGTCGGGGAAACACTTGATCGTGCATGGTATACCCAGTGCATATTCAATTGTTATCCATTCCGTCTCTCTGTTCAGTCACTCTCCTGTCGTGCATATGTCAGCGTGGTATGGCTCTGGTCTAACTGTGTGTGTATGCTGTGCTGCTGTGCTAGAAAAAATAATGCCGCCGCCCGAAAGGCCATCACCGAGCTTGAGAGGTCCAAGGAGGCGCAGAAGCTGCCGCTGGTGTCGTTTCTCCTGCTGCCAATGCAACGCGTGACGCGCCTAAAGCTGCTGGTGGATGTAAGTACAGGACATGACACGTCTTTCAATGACCCACGATGTGCTCAGCATGTGTGCGTAGTGCGTAGTGCGTGCGTAGATGCAGGGTCACTGTGTGAAGTCTGGTTGGAGACAAGCAATGCACATATGTATCAAATTGTCATACTGGAAGTATATGGGGTTGTCTATTGTTGAGACTATTGGCACGTGAGACCCCATTGTATTGCACCTGATTGTGGGCAAGATACCTGCTGGCCCATTCTTGTGTCGTCATTCTACTGTACATCTGTGGGAGTCTGTAGCTATGTCTATAATATTCTGTTTGTGTATTTTGTGTGTCTGTGCGCGTGTATGCATGTTTGTGTGCGTTGTGTTGTATGCACGTAGGCAATTCTAAAACTGGTGCCCATCGGCAGTGGATTGTTTGCCTTGGCACAGGAAACGCTGACCGCTGTCAAAGAAGTAAGTCTTGCCTAGCTTCACCATTTCTGCAGGCTCTTGTTATTGGCCCAGAAATAATTTCCCGACGCACCAATGTTCATGTACTGTATGCCCCGATTATAAGTCGCAGCCCCATTTTCAGGTTTGAGCCATATTGTTTTGAGCGTAGCGAATAGGCTGCCATTCTTTGCTGGCCTGCGGAGAACTGACGAGGATGGACCTTCCAGCAATTGTAGCACTGGAAGTTGTCTCTCCTGCATTGATTACCACGGCTCCTTACAAAAGCACAGCGTTCATGGTGTATCTCAAAGCACTCCATGCACTGGACTAGGGCATTGAATGGCACAGGCATTGCACAAAAGCAAAACTGCGTGTCCACCTCTATAGGAGCGCCGGAACCAGTGAAGTGCACACCCCTCCGCCGACACCTTGGAAATAGAGTGAATCGCCATTTTCAATGCAATACAATAGCTGATCTCACCTCTTCTTCGGTTGAAACACACCGTGGATGGATCCTTTCCAACCGACAGCTCAACGGCAAAGGCTATGGCAAACAGACCACAATCGGCTGAGCCAGTTTGCCGCTGCACTGATGGCTGGAACATGCTAAGGTTAGCTCACTTCACGTGGGTCACCATAGATGCAGGCTAGCTGTTCTTCCAGATGGGGAGGAATAAGACTCAGACCCAAACTGTCGTACACCTTCTTTACCTCCTTGTCGAGAGGGTTCCATTATGTCATTTGTCTATAATGTCTGTGTGTGCATGGCGTGCCTGCATGCGCGCGCATGTGTGTGTGTCTGTGTCTGCGTATGTGTATGTGCGTGTGTGTCTGTGTGTGTGTGCCTGTGCGTGTGTGTTTTGAATATCTGTCTGGGCAGTGTGTGAATCGTTGCAACGAGGGCGCCAAGGCAATGAAGCGCACTGAGGAGCTCATTGAACTCAACAACCAGGTCGATTTTGGAAAGCTCAAGGTAAGTTGTTGGATTGATCGCAGTCAGCCGTGAACATGTATGTGATGACTGTCCGCCACTCACACATCCTGCATAGGGCATAGGGCATGGGGCATGGGGCATAGGGCATAGGGCATAGTAACAATGGTGAGACATACGTGTATCGTACGTCCAGCGAATGTACAAAAATCAGTATTTCATAACCAAGGTAGTGCTCTTCCACCAAGGTCAAATGACTGGAAAAAGGATACACAGTGTCCTAAAAATGGAGTACGCAGTATCCAACGCAAAGAGAAGAGTACGATATATCCCGGGTACGAGTACAGGATTGTACTTGATACTGATGTTTCACTGTGTGTATCCTGGAGAGAGGTTGTGAACTAGCTATGCTCGTGGCCGTGTGCACAGAGTATGAGAAGACTTGATAAGCAAGTGACTTGGTCTTCCGACAAGCTAGCGCATATCCAACATGTGTTAACGCTGTATAGCATTAAGGCTCATGACATTCCGCTCCTCCACGTGTGTCTTTATGCATGTTACTGTAGCCTCTGGCGATGGTGAAGTCATCACGCTGGTTGCAGCGCTCTGGTTGCATCAACCTGATCAACAAGGACAAGAAGAACAAGACGAGCGAAGTGCACCTGATCGCGCTCAACGATCTGCTGCTGATAGCCAAGGGCGGACGCAAGAGGTAGGAACAGGTGAAGCCGTACGCAAGTGGAGGCTTCTTTCAATTAAAGACAAGCCGAAGTTAAAGTGTTACGTGAACGTACTCGTACTCGTATACACAGTATGGTATCCATGCATGGGGCCAGCACTGCAATAAGAGACCTACCTATACTGGTCATTTCAAGTCCCTATCTCCAAATCATATATCTGCATAACATTGAACCTGTGTGAAGTCGATTGACTAAAAGAAGGCCTGCTTTCTTTGCACCTGTGCATAGTCATGTTGACTTCACTGGCTACCTTGGATGTGACTGTGTCATTGTGCGTGCGTGTGTGTGTGCGTGTGTGTGTGTGTGTGTGTGTGTGTGTGTGTGTGTGTGTGTGTGTGTGTATGTGTGTGTGTGTGTGTGTGTATGTGTGTGTGTGTGTGTGCGCGTGTGTGCACGTGTGTGTATGTGTGGTCTATGTGTGGTCTATGTGTGGTCTATGTGTGTGTATATGTGTGTGTGTATATGTATGTTATCACGCCCAGGCCCATGTACAAGATCATCGACTACTGCTATGCACCGTTCTTGGCCGTGGACGAGCAGGCTACTGTGGCCGAGCTGGCCCCTCCGCCGGGCAACATGCTGCGCAGTTCATCGGACAGTGCTCTCTTCAAGCTGTCCGTTAACAGCAGTACGGACTCTGGACCGCCGGAGAACCGCTGCTTCAAGGTCACCCTACTGGAGAACTCCAGCCGTCAGGCCAAGGATTACATGCTCGAGGCACACTCAATGTAAGACTTCTGCGCCGGGCATCAGTGTCGCTTGGAAAGACACGTTTTGTAGAACAAATCGGAAGCGTCTCCGATTCTTCAAGGCAGTACGTGCATCTGCGCCATCCACACTAGGGAACGGAAGCGTTCGGTTCTAAAATTTCCCAGTGTTCATTTGAAGTGGTGTGGATTGCGCAGATGCGTGCACTACATTAAAGAAATGCATTTTGCGTTCACTAACTTCAACTTCACTTTATCATGTGAGCTGTGGAAAGAGCGAGACTACAATCGATATACATTGCGGCTAAACAACTTTTACCCGAAATCAGGCACATTTTCCAGATGCCCAAGAAATGGTCACCTTGTGTGCTAAGGTAACATGATTATTGACTAGTTCATGAACTTCCTCTGGAAATATAAAAAATACCGTTTGACTTTGATTTACCTGTCAGTTCTGGTGAATCGAACTCTGAGGTATCGTAGCAATGGTGACTGCCGAGTGTAGCTCAATTATGCATGCTTACAATTGTAGCTGCCATGGCATAACCGGGGCGGCAGGACTGGTCCGGTGGGTCAGGCCACGGCTGGACCAACTCTTTGCCACCCATAAGTGTTTATACTGCTGAGGAGGTACTTGCCATCATCATGTGACCCAAGCTGTACTTGCCATCATCATACCCAAGCTGTATGAAACACTAGTATATGTCCGGACCGATCAAACACTGTTTCCCCGGTCTTGCATGATGACCAACTCGTTCTTTCCTGCTGTGTTCCATATGGCACGTAGTTCATTAGCATCTGTTTACTGCCTGCTCTTTTCTCACACAGAACGGAGAAGACGCGATGGCTCGAAGCCCTGTCACCGAACAAGGAAGAAGACGGCGATGAAAGAATCTACGAAGCATGGGGTAAGTAATGATAATATGTACTACACTGTATGTTCATCCTCAGTTCTGTGCTATCACAGCATGGCCCAGTCTCCAAAGCTGGAGCCGCTGCTATATGTATATTGTGTTCTGGAATGACGAAGATTCTGTAACACGAGCATAAATTTGCCTAAAAATGGTAGAATAACCCCAATTGTAATAGTAAGCTGCTGCTGTTGCTGCTGCTGTTGCTGCTGCTGCTGTTTTGCGGTCGTCGTCAGCATTGTAAGTAGTAAACCGATTTAGCCCACACTGGGCAACAGTGTTCCTCTTTCTGTAGCTTTATATTAGGCAACAATGTGCCAGCCAGCCTGACGAGCTGTATGCCATGCCGTTTGTCCCATTTGTCCTCCCTTCACATCACACCATTGCAGATTGTCCCGAGGGTATGGCCATTCACCCATACATGGCACAGCAGCCCGACGAGCTATCCATGGAGCCTGGAGACATCATCAGCGTTCTCAAGAAGATGAAGGACGGTAGGTGGCTAAGTGCCCCTGCACAAGGATTTCTTGAGGCAGATACACAGCACATGTTGGAACTACTTGCACTCTAAATGTTCCGTTTCTTTGTTCTGACCCTGCCTAGCCTGCGATTACTAGCACCCGTCCTAGCAATTACAATAGGAAGTTTCGATTAGGAACGGTTCAATTCTGTGCGCAACACAGTGCTTCTGAAGCGACTCGCTGTGCATGAAAATACTGAATCTCTGGCAATCTCTGGCTGCATAGCCTGTGACCAATTCTTACTGATGGAATACATGTTTTGGTTGTCTTTGTGCTGACTGCTGGCAGGCTGGTACCAGGGACAATCACAGCGTACGGGCGAGCAAGGCTGGTTCCCAGCCGCCTACATGAAGGAGCGCGAGACAGCGCACTCGCGGGCCCGTGACCTGCGCCAGCAACACCTGATGACCAAGAAGCAAGGCTCGTCGTCGACGACCGGCCAGCCGCAATGCTCTCCGTTGCACAGTCCAACCATCGCGACTGAGCATGATTGATTGAATGAGGCCAGCAGCAACACCAGCACTCACTGCTCTCCACTGCACAGTCCGACCATAGCGAAGGTGCATGATGGCTTTCCGCTTTCACAGTCCAACCATAACGACGGTATACGACTGAGTGAATTGACACCACCTGCCGGGAGAGGCTTCTCTAAAATAGCATTACTATAATAAGTCTTGTAGCCACCGGATGGATGTATGCCCGTAGCTTTCAACGGAGACACACGGTATCGCAAGCTATATTTGCGTGATATGATGGATGGAGAAGAACTTGCCACACTGCAGTCTAACCACTGTCAAGTCGCTCTACGAAAATAAAGATCCTCAGCCTGATACCAAACTTCAATTTCCTCCACCTCCTGTTTATTTTATTTTTTACTTGACAAGTTGAAATGCTGAGCATATAATAAGGAAGCCCGGCAACCCGGCACACTCCATATTCATTCGCTGGTGATTTAGTCTTAGGTAAGCTTTCTCTCTCCCTCTCTCTTTACTACGGTAATTAATTTCGTGACCCAGGCATGTGGAGTAATCTAGAGGCGCAAGAACGTCGTTCTTAGGTTTTTCAGTAATCTGGCTGCCTTCAGATAGCACCAATGATTCTGCCACATGTTGACTGCACGTGTAAATAAACACGCGCACACAATTGTAAGTATAATAATTATATTAGCAAAGGCTGTATTGAAGAACAGCAGAAAACCGACACCACCGTTCACAACTTTTGGCTGCGTGGAGTCTTGGGCTTCATGTTCTTCGGATGCACGATAGTCACTCTACTATTGAAATCCAGTCGTGGCACTCAAGTGCGCACCGGGCGTTGATTGTGCAACCAACCATCTAGGACCTGCGAACACTGGGCTGCGAAATGGTGCAAAGCGCAATCTTGAGTGATGTGACTGGATTTCACTGAGCAGCACTGTACTTACGACGTACACACCACCAGGGAGTACAGTATTTTACTACTCCCTGGTACACACCAGTACAATACCGGTATTTTACTACTCCCTGGTACACACCACTGGTGTAGCATTGTGTACAAGTTATACATTGTTATGCCAGAACTGTTAGGATGAAAAAATCAACATTGCCGAAAATAAAATAATAGAACGAAAAAAAAACAGCAATTAAACTCAAATGCATCATCAAACAGAGACGGAGCCACACTCAGAAGAAGAAGAAAAAAGAACTTGACTAAGCTTACTAGAAGGATATTGGGAGGAGACAATAACAACGCTACGCTGTTAATTCGGGACAAACGGAAAAAAGTGATAAGGGAATACCTGCTCAACATAATAATAATAATAATAATAATGGTAATAAAAAGGACACGGGAAATAATCTCAAGCTTGAAATAATTGTTCAATGGTGTTAGACTTGGCGAACGACTCAAGAGGACTGCGAAGCTGGGATTGAGGAAGAGAATGTGCGGCGGTTGCATTCGGGAGGAACGTGGAGCGGAGCTTGGATTTGGCGAAGGAATAGGAACCGGTATGAAACGACTGCACGAGATGCTAGAGTATCCCAACATTTGTGAAATCGAAGAAAAAAACCCTGCACACAACAAGAAATGAAGCGAGGCTACATGTCCTAATAAGGGAAAAACTACGCACTGCGCATATGAGATACTATTGATAATAGAAATGTTCAAAGTAGGTAGTATGCAACAACTAAGACTTCCCGGCGTAACTGAGCACACCGGTACAGATTGCTAGCGCAGTGTTTGTCAAATGAGTGAGTAGTAGTCCTGCTTTAGAAAACATTACGGAGCCCACGGTTAGAACCAGGTGAAAAGTTAGCCGATCAACATCTTCAGGAGGCGAACAGTGAGCCAAAAGCCGCACGCGAGGATCCTTCGAACCCTGCACTGACCGTGGATTACAGAACGGGCACAGCAAATCCACCGGGCTCTGCAGAGCAGACGTGCTCGGTTATGACACAGCCGCCTTGAGCAAGTGGTAGCGCTGGCGCACGTTCAGTGCTCGCCGATACTCGCTGGGAATGTCGGCAATGTAGCTCATGGGGAACCAGCCCTCTACAGGCGGCGAGCTGTTCATGACCAGTCCGAAACACCAGCCTGGAGAATAAAACACCATACACGCCACATTGGCACAGAATACAAAGTGACACAATTAATACACTATACACAACATTGGCATAGAATACAAGGTGACACAACCAAACAGAACCCCTGACAACAGCATATCTGGCACAGGAAAAGTACAATAAAAAGTCTAGGGGTCAAAGGGGTGTTCCGGGTACCCGCCCGTTAATCCCAGGTCCCTTAGTAAAAGGGTACCCGTTTGGATTTCGATGATCAGGTCAGTACGAAACAACACTGCTGGAATTGTGCATTCCAGGCGGGAGTCAATTATTTACAACTCCAAGCTGCATGCCTGCATTGTTGTTGCATTTTCGCACCTAGTAGATCTATCTCTGCAACTATCAGACTCAAATCAATTGGCGAATCACAATGTGATATCAAAATGCAACCTGAGAACAGATAAATTACTATCATGGTTTATATGGAAATTGCGCAAAAAATAAAACATGGCTGCTAAAGGGTACCCGTTAACCCGCCCGTTAAGAAAATTACCCGTTCGTTAGTTAAAGGTACACCCGTTTGACCCCTAAAAAGACCCAAGCACCAGTTGCTGAATATTCAAAAACGAACTCACGGACACACACACACCATGTACCATACACCACAAACACACAAACACACACACCTCAGACATGCCCATCGCGGAAGCGATGATAGCGACATAGCAACCTGTGCTGGGATTACACCATTCAACAGCTTGCAAGGCTGATGAATTGACCGCCACTATTTTTAGCCTGGTATCCACCACACAGCTGTTCGAAGTGACTTTTTCTGGCCAGTGAATCCCTATTTTTCATTTTTCCATTTTTTTCTACACACACACACCACACCACATACTCAGGCATACACTGGCTGTTGGTAACCACCCAGGAGAATGAAAGAAAGTCAGGAAGAGTTCGAGAAAGAGAAGAAAGACGCGTGCGACCATAATCGTCGGGAATTGGACCCGCAACCTCTCTATTGGAAATCGACTGCACATACCACTGCACCATATGGGACACACGCACACACACACACACACACACACACACACACACAGAGCTGTCTTCTCCTCATACCGTCTTCAGTACGTCGCAGCACCTCGATCTCCTGGCCCTCGACCATATTCAGATCGTCCTCCTTGTCACCTTGGAAAGCGTACAATGCACGACCAACTGGACAATCTGCACACAACACAGATAGACAGACATACAGATGCACCAATACACACACACACACACATGCACACACACACACGCACACACAACGGCAGAGAAGAGAGTCAGCATAGGCACTGGAGCATTGAACAAGATGATACAGAACTTCATAGCTAATCTACTCCACAAAACATCACGTGGAAAGTCAACGGGGAAACACAACACGCCACTCTCATGGAAGACATTTACGGTTACACACACCAACTGCACATGCAATGCTCTTCCGCTGCACATGCAATGCTCTTCCGCTGCTGACTGCCCATTGCACCAACTGCACATGCAATGCTCTTCCGCTGCTGACTGCCCACTGCTCAATACACACGATAAGCAGACTAGAGGCAAGGCAGGTACAAGGAAACGAAGGCGACTCAGGAGATACCGGGAAATGATTTTTTTTACACTTTTACTCCATGAAATTTTGTGCCACGAGCTAGCTATAGGAGGTCACAGCGTGGCCCCAGCACTGCTGCAAACACTAGACTGAGCACAACAGTAGGAAGGTAAGTTGTAGACGAGGCCAGACCTCACTGAGCACAGCTGCATATATGGCTAGCGCACAGGATGGATGGAGTACACAAGACGCGGCAGGGTACTTACTCCATCGGTTGTAGATTGTGTCGCCCTCTTCCTTGAGGCACATCGGAGGATTCAGCGATGACATCCACTTCTCCATATCCTTGCTGTACATTCACAAACAGAAGAGAGCTTTGTGTATGAACGTTTTGCGCTTCCATCATTTCTAATGGCGTCTGGAAGCAGAGCCAACACAGAGGCTACCTCCCATTGTAAGGAGGCAAACTCGCTCTGACTGGCGGCTTGCAAAGCAAGACACTCAGTGGCCTTGTTTCGCATATTATGGGAGCCAACAAAGCTCTACAACCTCGTATTTATGCTTGCAGTGGAGCCATTACCTACAGTAACTGCAGACTTTACAGGAAAGTCTCTATTCCTAAAGGCAGTGAGCAAAATTGCCACGACTTTGACGAATACACGTGGACACATACACGTGGACACACACATGCATACACACACACATGCTGACACACACACAATTCTGGCTCGTGTACTGACCCAGACGATGCCTCGAAGAAGTAGGAGCGCTCTTTCCTCTGATGGTTCTCTAGGAACACCAGAGAGAACCTTAGGTCGTTGGATTCATTGCCACCCTTGTACTGACCATGCACAATGACCAATGGCATCTTGCAGTAGTCAATCACCTGAAGATCATCCAGACCCCTGCACGGCGAAAGAAAAACAACGCACAAGAAATCAAAAAGACGTTCATCAGTGTGAGGTATTGAAATGGAAAAAGTCTGAACCGACAGATTCATAACTATTACTATGGATTCGGAAAGGCGACATGCATGTGGGCGGTTGTGTATGTGACTGGCAAGAAAATACACGTGTAGCGTGAGTGGACCCAACTCACTTCTTTTCGGATTTCGTTTTCGTCACGAGCACCAGATCGTTGAACGCGTACAGGTTGACCAGCTTCTTTCTCTTCTTCTGATTGATTCGGCGGACTACGCCCACCTGATAGATGATGCGATGACCAGCAATGATGTCCATTTGCTGCAAAGGGAAGGGAATAGAAAACCAGAAAAGTCCCACTTTTACTTGCCAAAACAACAATTCTCACCTAGGCCTTCCCTCAAAACGTGGTTTGTACATGCGCCAAGTTCAGGTAAAGAGAAGGGCCGAAAGACTGTGCTGTCTGATGGCCGCCTTATGCAGGAAAGAGTCATAGCTGAACAGCCCTTCTCTTCAGGTGTGGACGAGTGCCACAGCCAGGGATATTGAGCACTAGTTGGTTGCTCCCACACTGGTGGGAGCAATCAACTTCCCTATTCCTACTTTTATGATTGTAGCATTTTCAAACAATAGGAGCTAGGACAGAGAAAGTGTTTTTACTCTGAGTTTCACGCACTAAGCGATCATCAGAAAACAGTAAATAGTCTATAGCTTACCGTGACCTTCTCGAACTTCAGCTGGCTCTCTAGCTCGCTCATCAGTTCTAGTGATCGGGCACCCTCGTTGCAACGCTTCACGAGCTGCCAGTGAACAACGAACATATGCATTCATGTATGTACGCATGTACGCATGCATGCACGCACACACACACGCGCGCGCACACACACGCACACACACACACACACATGTGTAAACACAATTCATCCAATGCCCATGCGATATACAAGTACGTACCGACTGAACGCACATAGAAGGTGCAGAGTGGAAGAAAATCAGCACAGCATGTCGCTACTCAGAGTTTCTTGTTACTAAGCAATCAACAGCAGATCATCATCAACCGAGTAAACGGTGAACTAGAGCCTACAAAAAAAGAAGAGTCAACACCAATTGAATGCATGCATGCGTGTGAGGTTGCATGTGTGCATGTGTTTGCCTATACACGACGTCAAGAGTACATAACCCCCCCCCCCCCCCCCCCCCCCCCCCCAGAGTGTGCAACGCCTGATCCAGCTCTGCATAGGGTCTTGGTCGAGCGGAATCGGATCTTTGCGTCATAATACCGTACACATCTGAGGGGAACCCAGGGAGTCGCGGGTGCTCTTGGATCAAAAACAATGGTACCCTGCCTCGAGACCGGCCTTGCGCTGGTGTGGAGTGTACGCATGACATCAGAAGATCCGATTCCGCTCGACGAAGACCCTACGCAGAGCTGGATCGGCGTTGCACACTCTGGGGGGTTATGTACTCTTGACGTCGTTGATCTCTGCAAAGAAGTACACCTTACAGGAACAAGACCTAATACATGTAAAAAAAGGATGACGGCGGCTTACCTTCTGCGTGTATTCCATTGCTCGCAGGATGTTCGCCTTCTCGTCACTCTCATCAGGCGTACGCTCCACAACCGCCTGGATAAAACCCCAAAAAGGATGGATAGAATACCGGCACAACACATCACTCTTCAGTGCATCAAGCGTAACGTAGAATCCCGTGTATAAGCCAATCTACGTAACATAAGCCCATGCCCGCGCGCGCACACATTGGCCTATGCAGATATAAGTAAAGGGCACACAGAACGAGGCATCATCAAGCATGCCTTTGAATGTACAGGTACCTGTATGAAAAATGAAAAGTTACGCAGTACGTTGCTTTGTTTTCGTCGATGCATGTCTCGATCGGTGTAGAGACACGTAAAAGCCCACCCAATACAACTTTCGAAAAAGAGATACTTCCATAGGCTTATCCACGGAACTCTATGGTACTACGAAAAGAAAGGAAAGTCCGATGAAGAATAAAAAAAATAAAAAGTACACCTCCGACGGGATTCGAACCCGCAACCCCCGGCTTAGGAGGCCGATGCCATATCCATTAGGCTACGGAGGCAACCACGTGAGTAGAGCGCTGTGTGTGGTCAATATTCAGGATTGAAATGAAAGCAGGACGTGCCAAACGGGAACGGGTGGGGTGGGAAATGGTCATGAACTGGTTTCGCAACACCTCAAAAGAGATGAAAACTCGCTCCCTGAATTGTAAACAGGGAGGCGGGTATGAAGATAGACGATGCAATGCGATTCTTCGCGTGGGGTCTGTAATGACGAAAGCCCACATCACGTGGTACGCAACCCAAGCACTGATCTGGCCTATGCATAGCAGTGGCAAGTTGACGCCCGTATGAATAAAGGCCATGTCCGGCATCAACCACGGGAAACGCCAGGCATCATCACCGCAATAGCCAGTCTTCATACTCACACACTCAAATACATGTAGAGTATGTATTGTACACAAGGGCCCTGGATAAACAGTGCAACATTAACACTGCAACACGTGATGTGAGTTTGCACCATCGGCATAACCCTCAGCAAGCCCGAATCAGACCGTACACTCCTGCCGTGTCAGGTTGCTTCGGCAGCACCCAGGGTGTGCGCAATGCCGCTAGCACGAAGTCTAGCCCTGGGAGACGGTTCAATATTGAGTCAAGGTAGCGCAACTACACGAGATCAAGACTGCATTCTCCTATCTTACCCTGAGCAGTAGTGGCATTCGTGTTATTCTCTGCATTGGCAGCAGAAGGTAGGACGAGATCGGCAGCTTATGGGCATCGGGAGCCTGCTCGAGCTGGCGCAGTGCCTTCTCGAACGTGGGGTCGGTTCTGAAGGGTACAGCAAAACATATGAACGACTAGGTGAGACATTGTAAACGTGACGGTGAGGCCAGTAACAGTTGCACAGTAAAGCTGGCCACGTTTCCACAAGAGCACAAATACTCAAACAGGCCGTGAAAGCGTCCCGAGATGTTGTCACGGATACAGACAACACTTACTGTAGAAGATGGTTGAGTTTGGCATTCTGAAGACACTGCTCACGGCAATAGCCCACGTACGGCTCGAAAAGGCGAATCTACAAGCGGAGGCGGAGAAAAGACAGCACACGATGATGGTGATATCGGGCAACCAGGCACTGCTCGTAATAAGCCCATTACACACATGTTCTGAGCTCGCATACAACGGAAAGCCCCAAGAGACGAGGAGTACAAACATGAAGTGCAGGAGGGGAGCCTTACGTGTTGCATGATCAGGTCGGACACCGACTCGACGACAATGGACTCTTCGCTGCGTTGCCGGAGGTCAGCCAAGAACCTAAAACGACACGAGCCAACAAAGGAAGATATGTCAAGGATCCTGTGGCGAGGCAACATTCGGGCAAGAGGCAATGGAAGCCGAATCAGGAAAACACCATCGGAGGGAAAGCCAGTACTGGTTTGAGGTATGAGTACAGTGGTGGCAAGCAAAATCAGAGCCCTGGAGCCGTGTGCTCGCACACAGCCTCACGTTGGGATGCATATGTAACAGTATAATTAACCGCACACATGACTGAATGCACTAGCATACAAGCACACACAATGCCAGAGACTGAATGTCATAAAATTAATGTGATATCCATGCTTTGCGGGCATGCCAGGTGCATGCATTTTACCCCGAGGATTCATTTCAGCTCCGTACGATTTGTACAAGCACCCATGACCGCAAACACGCACCCACGCACACAGCCACACACGCACGTAAACGCACACGCACACACCCAGCCACCCGCATGCAAACGTACGTGCTACTGATCTCGAGCAAGTCAGACGAATTAGAAAACAGTGTATCGATGTCCTCCTTGCAGCAAAGCGGTGTTTCTGTAGAGTGAACACAACACAGCAAATACACAACACAATGTACATTCGGGTCTGGTTTCAACCTGATTTCGGAAATTTTATTTTCCGTAACACAACACAGCAAATACCGTATGCGCGCGAATACAAGCCCCCCCCCCCTCTCGAATAGAGCCCGTCCCTCAGAGGCATTCGAAGTAATACAGTCCCGTCTCGAATAAAAGCCTGGGGCTCTAATCGAGCGCCCACAGTCCGTACGTTGTAGTGCAGTACATGAACCATGTACGGTATGCACGATCAACACAGTGTGCTTTGCGGATCACTAGATCCATACTGGAGGTACGGGATCGCTCTGGCCCTCTGGGGTCAACGTAGAGACATGCAAAAATGAGAACACACTGCACCAGAAACGATCATCTTGAAAGGTGTGAAAAATTGACGTTTCTATTGAAAAAATAAAGCCCCCTCTAAAATAGAGCCCCTCTCTGGGTGTCTTCTGGAAAAATAGAGCCCCGGGGCTTCTATTCGTGCCTATACGGTACACACCACTATAATGTTCGGGCCTGGTTTAAACCTGACTTTGGAAATTGTATTTTTCATTGCTATCAGTTTCGGCCATTTTCTCTGTGCTGCGCTGATGAGCCCAAAAAAGGACGAAACAGTTCTGTCCGTAGATTGAGAACAACCAAGAGTACATGTACATAACCCCCCAAGAGTGTGCAACTCCTACATACCTAGCTGTCCCGACAGAATTTCAAGTTGACGTCATTATTTATGATGCAATGCTCCTTGCACCAGTGATTTACAACATGTGTACGGGTGTCAACGCATCACACGTTTTTCTCTGCAATAATCTGTACAGAATCAGATGGGCTTCGGTCCACCACACGTTCCGGATTCGTCTGATAATCCGTGTACAGTGCGCATTGCATCATAAAAATGACGTCAACTTGAAATTCTGTCGGGATAGCACCCATAGTCGAGTTACACACTCTGGGGGGTTATGTACCCTTGTTACAACACAAACCATAGGACCAAATGCAGCAGGAAGGAAGAGGGGGAGGTGTCAAGAGTTCACATGAGCAAGGCCGCTACATGCTGCTAGTCCGCTGCAGGAGAGGACACTCCACACGCACGTACCGTCATCACATCCTCGGAACTTGACCATGAAGAAGTCCACTAGGACCTTCAAGCTTTTGTTATAGGACTCCTCGGAGGTCTGCAGCTCGTAAATAGCCTACATGCAGCACACAACACAACACAACCAGTCAACCACAGCATACTTGAAGTAGATATTTGAGATGGCCAATCATGCAGCGTAAAAAAATATGGCCCACAAGAAGATGTAAGAAGATATTACACGAAAGCGTCTCTTATCCAGACGCCTTAGACACGGGCATGTCTCTCCAGCTTGGGTGACTCTGGCAAAATGCTTTGATTTTCAGTCAGTTTCATTTTCAATCACACACACACACACACACACACACAAACAGGCACATTATCCAAACTCTTCTCACTGCCAACCAATGTAATCACTGCACTTGCATGAATGTATTCTATTCTAGTATGCCGTACACGTGCAATGTGGGCAGAAATAAATTATTAAAAACTGATGTGGTACAGCATACTTCGAAGTATAAATGAGCTGTTAGGGGCCGTCCGTAAATATCGATATTTTTTTCAAGACGATATTTGTTCATATCTCCCCCCTCCCCCCTCAAAACAAACATACACACGTTTATGCAGGGTATCGATATTTTTTAAAGAAGTGTAATCTCCTTGCGAAACGTGACCAACAGGAACTCCAAATTCACCGTACCGGTACACCAAGATTTACATTGCCACAGTCTCTCAACCTTGCCATGGCTGTATTCTTGGGGTTGACTTTCCCTTTGTGTAGGTCATCAACTGCATGTCTGCACAGTGCCCGCCCAACGTTAGAGATCGATATTTTTTTCAAAAGGACGAGACGAACAGGGACCAAACCCCCTCCCCCCCCCCCCCCCCCAACGAACGAATATCTTCTGTAAAAAAATATGGATATTTGTGGACGACGCCTTATGAGTTACGGGAAAATCTGAAATAAGGGCAGGTTTCCAGACGCCCGGATAAGAGACGTTCAAGTGCAATAGTACACACAATAAATTAATAGAGATGGGACAATGGTTCACATTCACAAAGATCTAAAATTACAACTCCATGCCTCCGGCCACTCGGCACTTGCTTTCCCCGGACATCAGTGCACATGATGTGTGCCATTGGTGTCCTTCAAGCAATCATCTCTGAACCTAGCCTACCCCCCCCCCCCCCACCATCCCCCCCCCCCCCACCCATACACACATAACACATAATTATTATGACTGTGTAACACACACACACACACACACACACACGTGCACGCACACGCACACGCACACACACACACACACACATGCAAACATACACACACACACAAAACAAACACACACCTCCTGAAGCTTGACCTCCGATGACGATAATTTCTCCAGGTAGCCACCCTCTTGCACCTAAGCAGAAATTCAGATCGCAAAGCAGACCAAGAGCATTGACTTGCTCAGAACATGCGACTGGGATTCACCAACACCGTAACACTGTTGTATAGATGCGCATGCAGGTGCAAAAGTAGGTGAAATGACACCTTTATAGAGCAGTGAATGATATTAGTTCCGCGGTCATGCCACACAACAAAAAGTCTCAAAATTTGAGACTGTTCTTTGTTGTGTGGCATGACCACGGAACTAATATTATTCACTGCTATCATTAAATTATTGTCTCCATGTCTCCATGTTGCTTATTTTTATACAGCCCTTATCCTCCATAACTCAGACTACAGCAATAAAGCAAACGGTTAGGTCATCACTGTTCACTGTTGGTGTTTGGTTGAATGGGGGGTTTTCCCTTATTTATACTGCGCAGGGATTAGAACACATACCGTCAAGTCTTGTATAAAAGCCGCACTTGAATAGAAGCCGCAATTTTGGGCCCATCAAATAACACATAAGCCTGGTTTTAGTGTTGACATACATAGAAAAAACCTGTCTTGTATAGAAGCCTGAAAATTTTCACCAAGAAAGTCATAGAAGCCGCGGCTTTTATACAAGACTTTACGGTATAGTAAGAAACCAGAGCAGTTGACCAGTGCAGTCAGTATACTACATGGATAGCATGGACAGCCACTTCCAGACAGTGCTACCAGTCAACAGGACACCGGCAACACCAGGTCATTCTCAGTTTTTCATTGACCGCACACATCACTTCCAGGATGCTCCAAGTCAGGGTCTTGAAAACGGGATTCACAGAAGCATTTTCGCCACGAAATAAGGAAATCCTCAAATCACACCCATCGCGCAGCTCACACAAACGTCCCAACAGGTTCACTGCAGAAGTTGAGCTTGGTGATGCGATAATTATGTGATTCGGATCTTCTTTGCCAGGTTGTACGCTATGTTCAAGAGTTGCTTGTATATTTAAATATACTGTACTGTATTCAGCCACGCAAACGCCTGGTTGCCGCACACCCTTGCATTGTGAGTTTGCATTGCACTTCGGCATCGCAGATCGCATCACAATGAGCACTGCATCGCAAAAATGCTTCTGTGACTCCCACTTAACGTCGCCTCGAGCGCCTACGGGCAGAATAGATTATGGGCTGCGTTCACAGGCTGCGTTTACCCGCACGCAACATTACATGCACAGTATACTCACTCACCTGTGGTAGATCACGCCAAAGCGCTCTCATCTCCATCATGGAGACGACACCGGAGGCCTGCGGCACAGGCGGAGACAGGTCGGCAATCTTGGAGTCGGGTAGCATGTCGAATTCAGTCTCGTCAACATCGCTATCTGACAGTGCCTCCGTGACATCCGATATCTGCTGAGTGCTGGGGTCACCGGCTGCGGAGGAGACACTGGGACGGCTGGAACGGGTCCCGAGGTAGTCGCTACACGACGCCATTCGTTTACGGCACGTCTCCAGCGTTACGTAAAGGTCTTCTTCGTCCTTGAACGCCGCCGTCGCATCGTCGACTACGGGTGCGTCGGCTTCTGCATCTGCTTCCACCTGCTGCACGGGTGCCGGAGGGGGTGGTGTGGGCATTTCTACGCCTCGTCTTGTCACAACATCAACAAGATCCGCTCCTTTCCCTCGGCCCTTTGTGTGACGCGTGGCGGTCAGCTTCCTCCTCCGGTCATTTGACACTAGTGTACGCAGTGTTGCCCGAGGGAGGGTGTTAAATTTGCCGAAGGAAATCTCACTACTTTCCGTTGCAGTTGGCGACTCCCCGTCCACATCCGCTTTAGCATCCTGGTCCTGATCTGGTAGCTGTGCATGCCACGTGCTGGCCGGTGCATCAGGGATTGTTGTCGTGGCGGATTTGCGGAACGCCATCTTCAAGAGCTTTGTGCCCTCGCCGTTGGAGGAGGGTGCACGGTGCACGCGAGAGTCGGCGGTCGGCAGTGCGTTCTTAGCAGTGGTCTCAGCCTGTGTGCTGGTGCAGGTGCGACGCAGATCCTCACTCTGATGCTTGTCGCTAGCAGTCTTACTACTGTTACCGATGCGTGCGGTCACTGTTTGCATGATGGACTTCTTGCTGATGTGACGGCGGTTCGGCTTGGGGCTGTCCTTGTCGGACGAGTTGAACGAGCGAATTCTCTTGCAGCGCGCTTGCCGTAACTTGCCGTTCTTATCATGCGTTTGTGTGTCCACATCGCCCTCCGCGTCTTGGCCTGGGCCACAGTAATCATCCCCCATGGTTCCAAGTGCACTAGATGCAGCCTGGTCCGTTGAGCCAGATTTTGATTGTTCACTACTGCCAGCACCGCACAACACCCTGCTTTCATCAGGACTATCCATTGATGTTTGATCCGACGTGCTGTCTTGTGAAACGGATGGTGAGGCTGGACACACTGGTAGCAGTTTCGGCGGAGGTGGACGGGGTGGAGGCGCCACAGCACTTGCCTTTTCTCCCGACACGGACGAGAGCAAGTTTATCAGCTTCGGAGCTTTGCTTTTAGCAAATGTTGACGCACTCGGCAGCGACGAGGCAAATTTTGTTGGCGGTGAGGTACAGCGACGTGATGGCGACGCTTCCCTGGACGCTGCTGGCGATGAACGGATAGACAGCGGTGCTGGAGACCTACTTCGAGAACTCACCGACTCTCTTTCCATACGGACATTCGATCTGCCACGAGGTGGAGAAGGTGGCCGCCTCTGGGGAATGTTTATGGGCACGGTGACAGGCTTCGTAGCATCGGCGACAGTATTAGCTCCATCAGCCGCTGGCATTTCGTCATCAGCCGCTGGCATTTCGTCATCAGCCGCTGGCATTTCGTCATCAGCCGCTGGCATTTCGTCATCAGCCGCTGGCTTTTCATCATCAGCCGCTGGCTTTTCGTCATCAGCAGTTGGCTTTTCGTCGTCATCATCAGCCGCTGGCTTTACGTCATCAGCCGCTGGTTTTACGTCATCAGCCGCTGGCTGTCTGTCAGTAGATTCCTCTCTTGCTTGCGCTGAATGGCGCCTCACATTGGAACGGCGGACAAATGTATGTGACTTTGACTGGTAATCCAGCGAACTTGACTGGGATTGTTGAAGTGGTTTTTGTGGGGAGTGCTGTGGTGATGCTACAGGCATCATCTCACCATTGCCCATACTGCTGGAATCAACGCTAACCGTACTAGCACTACTACTATCATACGGCTCACTGCTGGTCTGCGTCACACTTAAGGACTCGGAGTTGCCAGGCAAGATAGTTCCGTCCTTCTCCACGGCACAGGACTCACGCTCGCCGTCGCTCGGCTGGGAAGCGTTAGCATCTGGCGGATTGTCACAAAGAGACTGTGGACCCGACAGATCCTGGCTCAAAATAGATTCCTGCTCTTTCTGGTCATCAGGACCCACAGCAGATCGGCTTTCTGTCGTTGGTATTCTTGCTTCTTTTTTCTCCTCATTGATTACATCACATGACTCCGCATTTGAGGACTTGTCTTTAGCATGTTCTTCTTTATCGGGCGTTGCTTCTTTTCGCTCTAACTGCTGAGTTGAAGAGGGGGATTTCCCCGGTGCTTTGTTCAGCGAGGAGCGTTTCGATTGCCTTCCCTGGCCTGGCTTTGTAAGGCTCGGCTTGGTCTTCAAAGGAGGCTTTTCTGGCCTTGGTTGTGATGGCGTAGATGAAGGCTGTCCTTGTTTGCTTGGCGCATGCCGCGGCAACTGGTTTAATTGCTTATCTTCGGTACCCTTTAGGTTGTTGCGGATAAATCCAGGTTTGGGCTTTGAGCCCGAGTCACTAGCATCTTTCATTCCCAGGGGCTGTTGTACTTTCTTGAAGTCGGAGGATGCAGCGCGAGAATCGCCTCCCGAAAACAGCTTTGCTCTTTCCGCTACAGACGTGCTCGTGGACGATGGTTTGGAAAACACAGTCGATGATGCGGACGGACTTTTGCGAGGTTGAGAGGATGCTGAGGAAAGTGCTGACTGGATGGGTCTATGGATAGCCATGTCCACAGTACTCGAAGAGCTGGAGATAGACTGAGAACTATTCCCTTCAGAGCTGCCGGGACGACTTGTTAGTCGACCGGACCTGGTTGGGACCGGTGGTTTATTCCCGGGGATGCTGGTTTTTCGGGCAGCCATCCTGTCGGGACTTTCTCCAGGAGAGGGGGTTAACGGCGCCGACGAAGAATCAAATGCCTCGGCTTTTTGTCGAACGGTACAAGAGGACTTGCTGGTGCAAACGGCAACAGCCGCGGCTGCTGCTGTGACGGTCCGGCGAGAGAACAGGGATGCGGATGTGCTTACCTGGGACTGGCCATTGTCGCTGTTGTTGCCACCATCATATTGAAAAATCTTGACAAGATTCTTAACATTAGGGGGCGTGGAGGATGTGGGCATGCCGAAAACACGTCTTTCAACAGGACCAACGTCGCAGTTAACGGCTGCAGGAATCTCGTTCTCGGATGCCGAGCCAAGTTTTAGATGGTGGCCACGGTAGTGGGCACGGCGATCAAGCGATGCAGAGCCACGCACCTGTGCTGCTGCAGTGGTGGGACCGCTGGTGCTGTTGCAGGGTAGGTGTCGGCACGATGACAGCGACTTTGTCTTTGTGACGGCCTCCTGCGCGATACTGACGGCCAGCTGCTGCTGAAACAGCGAGGAGTCGCCTCTGTCCTCGCAGAATATCTCTTGCAATGATCTGGTCAGTTTAGCTTGCTCTGCGGACAAGTGAGAGAAAGTCAGATGAAGAGAAAAACATGTAAGAGATATGCAGGAGAATAGACAGATTGATCTTTCTTGTACTATTACAATATACAGTGCTAGTTATTGGGTGCCAAAGAACTGGGGTATTCCTTGTAGCCTAGGTCGTTCCACATTTTCGGGAATACTGGCCGAGGCGCTTAGTAGTTTGCGAGCCCTAAAATTTCACCCAGTTTGAAAAAAATCCACACGTTAGGTGCCTCCTCCCGTACAATCTTACCTACAACCTTTCCTAAGCTGGACGGCCTGCATGCACCCGTACTACGTCATACTCACCTTTCGTTCCGTTGGCCTGGGTAGCTACTAGCGCCCATGTTTGCCATAGCTACCCAGGCCCTTTATATAGGGCTTGAAAGTGATGACGTCAAAAACGGCCTGGGAGTAGTAAATTGACATCAGATTTCTATTTTGGATCCACTAAGGTGTGACTTTGCTATTGCCTCAGTATGTGGGTGCATAGCAACCCACTCATGTCGTATGCAGGTGCAACTTTTACTTCGCCACCAGTTGTCACCCCGCCCCCACTAGCCAAATCAGTCAGTTTCACTGGCAACATCACCTTGCTGTGAGTGAGACCGCTTGAAATGTGCTTGGATCCATACAAAAACTGGATCCAGGTGGATCCAGTTTTCGAATTTTTCAAATTGTTGCCATGCCATTGCTATGGAGTGACGTAGCACTTTCAAGCCCTATTGCGTTGTTTCTCAGTCGATCTCTCTCTCTTCAATAATCTCTTTCTCACTCTTCAATGTAGTCGTTTCGTTCGTCTTGGTCTCTTGTCTCGTCGTCTATAATAAATGCCGTTCCCAATAATTTGTTCCCGTTGTCCGTTGTAATGCCTGGAGAAGATGTCGTCAGTTGTCCATCTTCGGACTCAAAACACACAAAGGGCCTTGACGTGACCAGCGCTAACTTCAGAAAAACGAGAGAGCTTGGAAGCTCAGGGCCCTACGCTATGCTTTTTTTGCCTTGATGACCTAGACCAAAAAAATCATAGGGATGTGAAAAATTCTTTTAAAAAAATCCTTTTTTTAAGACATAACCTGGGATTCGAACCCGCACTATCGCGCCCTGCATGCATCCCCCGATACACTTCGCATACATACTAATTCTTCCAAGTTGTTTCACATTATGATCTTGCATTTGAAAGCCCTATTTGAATATGCATTGTGGCCAGCCGTCTTTGATGGTACGGTACGGTAGGGATAGGTACGGGACAGGTACGATCGAGGGTAATACGACACCGTCTCCCGTACCGTACCATCAAACACAGCTGGCCACATACAGCTGCCCGCAATATTCAAATAGGGCTTTCAAACGCAAGATCATAACGTGAAGCAACTTGGAAGAATGGGAATGAATGCGAAGTGTATGGGGGAATGCATGTAGGGCGATAGTGCGGGTTCGAATCCCAGGATATGCCTGAAAAAAATAGGAGAATTGAAAATTTTATAACATCCCTATGATTTTTTTGCCGTCAGATACGGGATAGCGCCAGGCGTGACACAAACACACAAACAAATACCAAATTAAAGCTGTGTGGACCCTGGCTAGCGCCAGACGTTACTGAAGTAACGTCTTCTGCATAGCTACGGGAATAAAATATATTCATGTACTACAGTGTATGCACAGTTGAGTCACCATGTGTGTATCTGTACTACAGTGTATGCACAGTTGAGTCACCATGTGTGTATCTGAGTCACCATGTGTGTATCTGGATGTCATGCTTGCTGACATGCTGGCCGGTTCGTTCTTCGGCGCGCCATTCTTCGGCGCCCGACAGTGCAGCAATTAAAGTGGTAATGACATCCAGTGGCAACAGCGAGTAGAGGTTGGTGGTTGTGAAGAGGAGAGATGCAGCAATGTGATACAAAGTTGTTGAAGTTTTACTTGCGACAGTTTCCTAATATCAACTCTTCTGTTGCGAAATTGCGTTACGAGTATGATTTACGCATGTTGTTGTACAGTCGTCCCTCTCTAATCCGGCACTTGTTAATCCGGAACCCTTGCCAACAGGCGCACTTTCTGATGAAACCGATTTTTTCGTTCAATTCCTACATCGTAATCCGGCACTTGAATTCCGCCTCCGGCAGTGACTTTTTGAAACGAATCGCTCAAACTGCATGTAGTTTGATTTCATAATCCGGCAGTCGTAAATCGCGTACCGTACAGGTGCACTCCTTGCCAGGCCAGTCTGGTCAGTGCCGCGCGCGCGGGGCCACTTCAGAGTTCAGTTATCGATCGAATTCAGTTGACAACTGTACTCGACCTCGCGCGGGAGAGTTCAGTTCGATTGGTTGTTAGGACTTTTCCGAACCCGAACTCAATTTATACAAAGAGAAAGACCAAGGAACTACAAGTTACGCTATACTGTCCACTAACACCACCAGTTACTAAACAATCAGCGACGATGCACGACACTGACCGACGGTACTGACGTTCTACAACTAACTGGCTAACAGCTCTAGCACATCTTGGATGCGCACTCCAACAGCCTTCCAACTCTGGCACAAGCATCCAGTGCACTTGCTGATGCAATTGTTTGCTTCGAAGGACATCCATCGTTCGACCTGCATGATGTCGACTGCTTGCGTGGCCTTCTCAAGAGGGTCAATGTTGTCCAGGAGACAACTGCTAAGCAGTCAACCATACTTTCTTATTTTAGCAAGGAGTAGTGTCCTGCCAATTTTCAGGTCTGTGTGTGTGTGTGCGTGTGCAAGAGTACATGTGAACATGTTCTCTGTTTTACTTTATCACTTTATCACTGTGTATATTCCTGGAGAACAGTTGAGAATATAAAGTTGTGCACCAAATACTTGGATCGACACGGAAAACCCTGCGTTTTGACGTATGACACATGCATGCAATTGGGTAGGGCCGGGTCAGAGGGCAGGATTTCTTAATCCAGCACCCTCGTTAATCCAGCAGAAAACGCCGTAGCAAAAGGTGCCGGATTAGAGAGGGACGACTGTATTTGGTTCTTGTCTCGTAGAGGCCAGTGTCTGACGTCATATACGGTCTAAGTGTACGTGCGAGTATGGTGTGATGTGTGACGTTTACGATATGTGGTGCATGCAAGAGTACGCGTTGTCAGAGTGTGAGGATCTGCTTCCGTCTGTGTGAGAGTGCCTGTCAAGTGAATGCGGTACATGAGCAGTGCTAGTTTGGTCTGGGAATGAGAGTCATGTGTGATTTGTCTGTGGTCGTCTTGGTCATGTGTTCTGTACGTATTAGTCCCTGATTGGTCGTCCCGATTTGTCGTCGCCTTATTACTACTTGTTCTTTGTTGGTTTTTGGTGTCTTTCTCGTCGTCGCTTTGGCTCGGTCTAGTCTTTTCGTCTTCCTCCTCCTGCACCCTCGTCATTAAATTTTGTTGTTGATACTTCGAAGTATAAGAGTTGAGACACACAATGGAGAGTTTGCGTTGCTGTGTGGCGGGGGCCAGGGGGAGAAGGCAATAACCCAAACCTATTTTGGTTTCACTTCCACAGTGGAACCCTGCTCATCCACTCTTCTATGATCTTGTTCCATCGCCGGCCGGTGAAATTGTGGTTGGAGCAGTGCAGAATGAGCACAGTGCAGAATGAGCACAGTACGTTCAGTTATCCCGTCTCTCGTTAACTATTGGGGGGGGGGGGTTGTTGTACTTTATTCAGCTTCCGCTAAAGTCTGCGAAAACAATGGTTTAGACTGAGGACAAGCGGCTCTCCGACAAAGGGCCATCGCGAAGGTGAGAGCACGTTCAGTGGCAATACCAAATCATCTCTGGTGAGCACTTACTGGTAAAATTGAGTGCACCGTTGCTGCTGTGCTTCACTCTGCGCTGGGGAGCCTGGAATACGTCCCCGTGTGCACTAGTAGTAGAATGTACAGAGGAGTCGGAATCTGGAGTAGAAAAGACAAGAACATACAATGCACAGGACAACATGAAAACGTCACAAGAAACAGATCAACTGGATTCAATCCGCTACATACTGTAAGACATGTTATCATAACGAGTCGCAAATTTAACGATTGTCCAAAATTCATAGGTTAACGAGACGATATGTTAACGATCTTGCAGTATTCCGGCATATCCACACACAACATGTATGAAGCATTACAGCCTCAAAGAATCTTTGCATAACGAAGAAATGTCGATCGTTAAAACGTTAGATTTACTTCCTCGTTATATATACATGTCATACAGTATTCTGAAAGGCACAATCTACCGAAACCGCCGTTAGATACAGTCCCAGCACAACAGCTACACAAACCGTGTCCCATTAACACAAACTTCTTACTCAGACGGGTAATCGACTGCAGCATCTGAGAGTACGAGTATACCACGAGCACAATACATATAACACAGAGTACAATCGAAGGATATGTCACCGTCAGAGTCCTAGACGTGTCACGAGCAGCTGAGAGTGTACATGGCATGCACCCTACGCACATGTACAGCACGAGCAACAATTTTGCTTTGTTCCAAACAACATACACAAGTGTGCGCACGCTGTGGTGACGGGAAATCAAGCACACAAAACACATGGCCTGGCTATTTTTTGTTCAAAAACGTACACATGGCTATACGGCGGGTTCAAATTGCAATGTGGACTTCTGGGTGCAACTGCGGACACTGGTGGCCCAGCCAATACAATTCGTTGCTGTGCGCACTCGCTAGACTTCGACTATACCACCAGGACCACTGAGCAGACATTACGCCCTCTTCAGACCTCTCTGACTGGTCCAAACCGAACCAACTCATGAGGCAAGCAAAATAGCATCACGTCTTCCTGCAACCTGTGTTATGCTCGGTGTTGCAGGAATGCGAGCATGCTTTCCCTACACCAGCAGTACCGGACCTAGAGCGTGGCTGTGGGTGTGATACATTGGTGTGGCCTAACACTTAACAGCTGTGCTAGCCAGCGGCTTGCCAGCACACCCACCACCAGGAAACAGTGCACAGCGCACAAAAGCTCCTCCACTTCTTCGGTCAGAGTACTTGGCCGATGCTAGCAACTAGAAACAATGTGATCGCCGCCAGCCGAAATTCACGTGTCCTGATGGCCAAGCAGGGCGCGAGTGCTTCTGAAGTCCACAGGGGGCAAGCTACTCACTGCCAAGGGCAGCCAACCTTGCAGAGACATTAACACACCAAGGGACGTGATGCATATGAACTTGGTGTTCGGTCCGTCTGCAAACCAAATGCACACTAAGCAGAAGCCAGCATCTGTGTGTGGCTTGTCATCCTGATACTGGTCCTTGTACTAAACAGAGATTGATCTAGCTACGTCTGAAAGCGAACTGCACCTGACACACTGAGATGACGCACACAGCCAAACCAGTGTTGTGCTTCAACGATGACGACGGTGTCACACAGAGATGAACATCTGGCTGCCTGCCTCGAGAGCAGCAAAACAATCCACTGCCGTGGAATAGTACCAGCCAAACAAATTCAGATTTAGGCAGTGTTCGACACGTGCAGGCCACATGTGAAGAAAAAAAGCAGACGTGTGCGGACATGGGATGATGGTGGAAGTGAACGATGAATCGAATTGACACCGCAACACCTACACACTACAGCCACTAGTCTGTAAAGCAGCTGCAATTTTGGACCAGTGTGCAGAGTCCTTCCTTCAATACCTAACTCATCTGTATCACGCCCTGTACTAGTATGCATAAATCCACAAACTAACTTCTGCTGCACAACCGGAACCCATGGGGCTATGTTTTCGCAGTAAGTTCATCAATTCATTCACCGCAATCAACAGCTTACTCGATGTGCAGAGACAAACACGGGCACCGCCAGTCTTAGCCTGTCGCGAGACTCGTCGTGAACGCGCTCGAGCTTGCGTGTGTGTGTGTGTGAGTGTGTGTGCGCGTGTGTGTGTGTGTGTGTGTGTGTGTGTGTGTGTGTGTGTGTGTGTGTGTGTGTGTGTGTGCGTGTGATTGCGCACATGTGTTTGTGTGCATCCATGCTGAAGTGGTTGTTTGATAAACTGCAGACAAGTCACCCCTAGCCACAGACCACACAAGAACCTGTTTGACAACATCTTACATTTAATACCTCCAGGAATGACTAATCACCGACTGGAACGGCCTGGCGGAGGACTGTCATAAGTGGAGACTGGCCTGTAACACCATCCAGCCACCGAAACCTGTGTCCCGGGACTTCATTTGCAGCTGCGACCGAGATTTTCATTGTCACCGGGACCTTACTTGCCATTCAGAGTCCTGTTCTCCGTGTCGGTTAATTCAGGACCTTCCAGATCTCCGGATGGGCATTATTGCATTGTATTGTGTGTGTGTGTGTGTGTGTGTGTGTGTGTGTGTGTGTGTGTGTGTGTGTGTGTGTGTGCGCGCGCGCGCGCGCGCGTGTGCAAGTATGTGGACGGGAAGATATGGCATGCCAGTAGGTCGACTTCCAGGTACCAATGTTAGGTGGACACGTTCACAACAGGCAGAGATGACGGCACACCCAGAATACGCTGCGCTTCTGGCATGCTGCTTGTTCAGTGCTGAACCCATGTGTTCCACAATGTGGAAGGGCCAGCCATGCAAACTCGCCACACTACAACTAGTACACTCTCTAACGCAACTATTGCGTACATGCTTTTAAAGGGTGAAGTTATTTCCGCCACACCACTCTGGAACGAATAGAAATTGTTCGAAATCAATCTTCAACTTCGAAAACTGTGTCGATCAATCATTCAACAGCCGGTTGGGCTTGCTTTTGTTCATCTCCTTCTGGCGAAATGCAAGCGTTGAGCATTGCGCGTTGGTCAAGAGTGAACATCGCTCAATTACCAGTTGTTACAAAACGTTACCGCAATAGGACCACGCCAGACATACACACTACAAAACACTGTTTCAGCTACGGAATGACAGTATACGTGAACATTGAGAACTTAAATCTTTGTGAAGAGACTGACAGTGACACTCGAAACTGATGCAGAGGCCGACGCCGACGGCCTTCCGCAAAACAGCCACGCGCCACACTCGGCCACATGTCACTTTTGTTTCGAAATTATGTACCAACACCTGCTCGACACCGACCTTCACCTATGAAGCTGTGAGAAAGGAAACAGGCTAACTACAATGCTCGGCATCGTCGACCATTCGCAAATGTAAAGCCCTTCCTGCCATGATCTGGACCGGTCCTGCTCTTCGTACACCACGAAAGCATTACAGTCGAGCTATTTACTACACAAGTACGAAAGAAACTCACCGCATGAAGCACCAGGCGAAAAGAAAGTGAGGTTGGCCGAACAATCTGCAAGGAAGAAGGAGACATGTAGAACATATCCCTTCACTCGTCAGCTGCAGAGCTGCACTAGCACTGAAGTCCGAATTTTTTTGACCAATTTCAATCTGTGATCAGGCAAGGAATATGTACCTTTTGCCACAGCCACAGGTACACCAAAGGCCAAATCTATCAATTGTTTTTCTCCAGTGGCTGTTAGCTCCACTACAGTTGTAAGCTTGGGCAACGCAGCCGCAGTCCAACAGGAATACAAATTTCAAAAAATCTCCTTTATCTTCAGCTCGCGCTCAGTGCAGGCCAGGCGCCAGGATGAAAGTCTGCCACCGATACTGCTCATCTGCTCAATGCCTACAGCCGGGTTGTCGAGTCATTCGGCTCCAAAAGCAACCAAAAGTGCCATAAACAGCTACATACTGAAGAATCAAGGGCCAGGGCCTAGGCCAGGGGAGAAGATTCTCAGAAGAACTGCTGGAGTCGACGCGTCACGACACAAGTGCTCACGACACAAGTCACACTTGCACTCACCATGCTCACAGCTACATGCTACAGTACTGTAGCTACAATCCACGCGATCGATGTATAATGTGTGGGCCAGACTTTTTAGTCCATCCGTGCAAAAAAGCACGCGGAGGCCGGAAGTCCAAAAATATGTAGTACGTATTTTACGACTTCGTGCATGCACACGTACACAGCCACACTGTACTTGTAGCTAGCTACGATTATTTAAAAAAAATTATTAAAAAAATCAGCTACGATACGGCTCCGGCCGGCCGGCTACGATAAATAATTCGTACTGAGACTGTGCGACTCGTAGTGCAGCATCATTATTGCAAATGTGGTTGTAAAAAAAGCCCCTTGTACGGGCAAAGCAAATGTCACTTCCCAACACAAATCTGAACTTGAACTTGAAGATGTACCCAACTGTCTGGCAGACCGTTGGCGGTGCAACAAAAATCACCAAACGTATTAAGCACTAAATCTTCTATTGTTCTCTCTGTGACTTTCCGGGACCATAATTTGTCAACTGTTGCCATGACTAGTATGAGTATGAATATCAGTGAAGTTAAAGTTAGCCTCGGACTTTGGTCTTCTGTGGTGCCCTCACCAAAAAATCTGCCGGGCCTGGCCCGGTCGGCCATCCTCTAAAGGTACCGGCGTGAAAATGTCATCCTGAAGCAAGGCCCGTGTGACTTTTTTGAGGCCATGAAAGTAGGTGTACTACTTAGCCAGCAATCGCATGTCACCACGTACATTCAAAATCAACATAATTTTGCGAATCGACCTTTGAAGTTATGTAACCATGATTGAGTAAAGTAACGGTCTACCCATGAATGTCACTCACAGACCTGTAAAACGCATTGGCAAGGTACAGGCACCAGTTCTCCGAGTATTGCAACGGCAAACAGTATTTGAATCTACCACATCTCGGCTACTGTGACGGATAGGTGATACGAATATTCAGAACTTTTTGTGCTAATCTACTCCGGCAAAATTCGTCTCCGGCACTGCAAGCGGCCCTCCAAGGAAGCTCATCAGTATAATAACATCGTCGTGAGACGTCACTATCGAAACAGGAGTGCCAGGACGAATCCCAAGGTGACAACCAGCAACGAAAAGAGAGAACAATGGGAGTTATTGGCCACCCTTGCTCCTCGACTATAGTCACTGTTGAATTAGTACTCCTGAAAAACGAATGGGAATACAAAATACATGTCCCAACCACATCACCACCATGAGTTCGGAACTTAGAGGCTTACCACTTTGTAGGGCTGAACTTGACAATCATACCGATAACTCCCATATCGATCGATAGTAAGAGTGCAATCGATAATCGTTAGTGTTCACAACGAGTGCTAACGATTTTTTATGCATGCATATCACGGTGACAGTATTCTAGCCCTTGCACTCCATCCGATAGTGAATACGAGTACAATCATGCACTTTCAAGCGCAGTAATATTGATTTGTGGCTTTGATATACCGGTACTAGGCACCGGCGGATTATGCTCGAAAAGGTGGCAGATTCTGCTCGAAAAGCAGTGAAATTGGCAGAACCATACAAACCTTATGGCGGGCAATTCCTCGAATTCTGCTCCATTTCAGTCTTTATCCACATACCAAACATGCATGAAACTTACCAGAAAAAGTACCGAATTCTGCCAATTTTTTCTGCCGGCATTATCCGCCGGTGCCTAACCGGTACTGTCGTCAGCATTTCTGGTAGACTCGCCAGCAACGCTTCAGTAATACTGAAGGTACATGTACATCTATGTGTACGGAGACCTATGATTTTAAGAGTTTACCGGACAAACATACTGCTGCATTCGCACACTTCAAGTGCCATATGTAGTACATGTGAACGTATGCTTATTCCGATCAGCAACGAGTACAGGGAGAGTTTTGCCGAAAGTGCAACCAGGGCTCAGAAATCCTTGACAAATTGGTAGATTAGCAGTCATCGCGATCGAATAGACGTTCCCATGTCATGGTTATGCTGTGCAGGTTGGATCGGACGTTGTGTGTATTTCCACGTGTAGATCCACATGTGCGACAAGTAGGGCTGAAACGATCATTCAATAACTCCTAACGATCAACCAATATCATTAACGATCGATTTATTGGTTTTATCGATTCGTGTTGGCTGTACCCGTGTACCTCGAACACCAGTTTATGAAGAAATTCCATGATACCTTTGGTATGTTAGAGATTTGTGGTACCGCACTGTTGACATCTGAATCTTGTCATCACCCTCTGGCAACTGCTCTTATCTCCGACCTCTCCCAGAAATGCACAAAAAAAGAGCAAGTCTTCTCTCCCCATCTCTTTCAAAGCCATAAATCAATTGTATTGCGCTTGAAAGTACATGATTGTACTCGTATTCACTATCGGATGGAGTGCAAGGGCTAGAATGCTGTCACTGATATGCATGCATAAAAAATCGTTAGCACTCGTTTTGAACACTAACGATTATCAATTGCACTCTTAACGATCGATATGCGAGTCAGTATCGGTATAATTGTTTCAGCCCTAGCGACAAGCAAAGTTGCGTTTTAGTTCTATGGATTGATTTGAAATCATGTTTACACTATCTGCACTGTGCACACGCAACCAATAAAGTGATTGGCTGGAACTCCATCGACAATCGTTCAACCGGCGCACCTGGCAAACGTAAGAAATTCAACCATGCTGAAAAGTCCCGGATGATTACCGCTGATTCTCCGAGTCCTGGGGTCAGGCTGGATTAGGGGGCAACAGCCGGTCACGGTCGGGTCGTAGAGCATTCGCATAGTATGGCAATTCGGCCAGACCCTGCAGCTGATTTCCGATGGGCTGAAACGGTCAGGTTGTGAGAAATCGGAATAATTATGCGAATACACCGGGATTGGCCATGCTCTGAACAAGAACTTGGAGTGGTTAACATTTCAGTCAGGGTTGACCTTACCCCCATCCAGGGCAGTATCCGGCACAGTTGAAAAGCAGTGTATAATAAATTATACAGTGGTTCAGTAGAAAGACGTTTCGGGTGTAGTTCGTAACTTGACACTGAAAAGACATTTCTCAGAAGCTTGATTTGTGCGACGCGCTGTTTTTGTCCAGAATTGTTTGCCGGTGTGTATCTCAGCCTGCGGCTCGAGTTTTGTACAGATGACGGAACTGTATTGGATCACGACCCAGAGTTTCATGTGCAATGCAATCCACAGCCAATGTGTGCGTATGTGTGTGTGGGGGGGGGGGGGGATCTTGACATCTACGGTGGAACAGCGGTTGGTTGGTCGAATTCGCAAGCCGAACAGGATTTTCTATTTCCAATTCCAGGCTTGCCTGGGCAGGTGTTAAAATTATGCAGCGAGAACCAGGGACTCCATACACACACGCACACACACACACACACCATACACACACACACGCACACACACTATTATAACCGGATCATTGCGGCCTACCTGAGAATACTGATGCTGGCGATATATCCGAAGCGTCACTCAACGAAACTGCAGCCTTCCTTGGCTCGTGAGCGTCGTCGTCATGGCTAGGTTGTCGCTGGTGCTGCGGATTCGTCCAAGCTGTCGATGCCCTGCCATTTCTGTTGGGAACGCCATTGGCGGTGACCACATCGGCCAGCAGCGCCGCTGCAGCACTGGGAACAAACTTCTGATAGGGACGCTCCACTGCCGTGTCCTCGACAGCGGGCCTCTGCTCGCAACAATCCTTCATCTTCCCTGCCTTCCGCTTGCGCGGCCAGGGCACGCACGAGGCAAACATAGTATTCTTTCTAGAGGCGGTCAAACTGACTCAGGCCTGCTGCAGTAGCTGCAACTCTCCGCGGTGACGCGGCGTGGCTGAACGAGCTCCTGAACAACTAACGTTACCTCACACAGCCAGCATCCGGGCTGATCGCTGCGCAGAGTTTGTGATCCTCACGAGTAGGACGTTGCCGATCACAATAGTCATCTGGGTTGTTTGCAGCTGAGCAGCGTTTTCAGACACGCCTTACCCATTTGCCACTGCTCGGATTGAAGCCCCATGCAACAGAAGTCCCTCTCGAATTGCGTTTCTGGTTCACACTCGTCAGAGTGCAGCTGGGAAGGAACCAAACTATCACTAGTATCACCAAGCAGAAGGCGATCCTGGGTCTGAATACTTTCCGATACTAATCCGGCCGGGATGACTTTCTCTTCGGCCTTCCACGACGTTTCTAGGGGTGCAACGCGTGTCGCTTTCTTGACCCCGATGCCCCTACCTCTGCAGCGTCAGTTTCAGTTTCTCACGTCTGAAACTGGGCAGGAAGAGTCTGGGAAGGGAGCGAGTTCGCTGGCCAATGCGTGGCCGTGGCATTCTGCACGGTCTGCTGTCTCTGGCTTGGCTCGAACAGCTGGACCTAGAAACTCTTGGCGTGATGGTGTCGCTGCATGATGAGCGTCGTGTCCTGCTTGACTGCCACTGCTGATAGGTACGTGTTCTGTGGCAGGCTCGTCTCCAGGAGAGCTGTATTAGACGGAGCTAGTGGATGGGCCTATAGGCTATGGCAGACAGTAGGTCTACTCACACACAGCACTCAATCTACACATGTGCAGAACGCATTTGCACTGCATTAGCTTCACCACTACCACAGTACCAGGGAGGGCAGGGAGGGTTCATCACTAGTAAATTTAGTAAATAAACTGTGCGGCTTTGCCGCAGTTGCTCAGCCAAGTGAAGTCACATACAACCACACAATGGTTGGCGCTATGCTTCAGAATTCAGGTGCACCTCCTGCTAGCGGTTATGGTATGGCGCACTCGGGGCGATATGCATGGTCGGCGCAACAAGAAGACGTCCGCACGACAGGCAGCGTGCAGATGTAGCATCCCTGCCGAATAGTGAGTGTCGTATACCGTTCTGCACCTCTAACTTACTAACTTGGAGGCGCACATGCACACACACACGCACATAGATCTACGACGACACGGTGCAACACTCCCCGGCGATGACAGCATACCATCCGCCCTGCTGCCCTGGTCTCCCCAGCAGGACTGGTAACCAGAGAGAACGAGAGAGAGCCAGAGCGAGGGATGGCTGCTTCTCGCCCGTTTGATGCCGCCGGTTGCCTTGGACGGCGGGTGACCCTACTCTCTAGAGGCAGCTTTAGACCTACTGTTGAAATTGCTTGTGAAAGCGTGTACCCATGGTAAGAACAATACCATTAGCCGCACTAACAACACATAGTCAGCAGGATAATTGTGTAGTTGCAGCGGATGAACTCGGCGAAAGTCACTCGACTCCATCTCCGCATAACTAACAACTTCCAAAGCAGGAGTCACCGCATAACAGTCTGTTTCGCTTCGTGGACGGTCGACTATTAGCAGGATGGTGGTGTGAGAACGTTGACCACTTTGAATAATCGCTCTGTTATCGTGGCATGTTTATCATCCAGTACACATCTGTCGAGCGTAAACGCAGCCAGCAAGCAGCAAAGAAGGTACATTCAGCATTATACTGACATAGTTTTCAGGTCGGTTGCACTTTCGATTCGCTACGCTCGCTGCAATCATCGCCATCGCAAGTAACGCTAACAGTTTCAGCAATCAATGTGAGCGACATTATCTAATCGTGTAGACCATCTACCTCGTATGTGTGGGAGCCCTCTCACCTTCAGGTGAAAGCGCGAACGATTTTTATGTTGTATGATCTGGCAGCATCACCGGAGGATGCACCTAGCGTGCTGCGTGTTTTCAATACCTCGGAGACCATCACACTAACGTTATAATGTTGAGTTAGTCCTTTCTGCTACGATTCCAGTAAGAAGATGATTTTTATTGCGTCTTTCTATTTCAAATAATGATATCCACATGATGATCCACAGCTAGGTGCAAGCACAGTGACGGGAGGCGATAAGGAGAGGTGTGAAGTGCCAAACTACAAGAGTAAGAAGCGCGTTTCATGCCAGCATTAGCGGTCGCCTGCCATCAGCCTTTCCGTAGCAACAGCCAATCACCACACTGTCGGTGTCAATACCACACTGGCAAATTACAACGGCGCGTTGAGACCCTCACCAAACAGCTACCACGAGTTCATACACGACATTGAACGTGAAGAATGTGTTTTGTATATACACAGGTGCTTTCCCTCACGCCCTTCGCTTCCCACGCGTGTGTCGGGGAGATTCTTGAGCAATGCGCTTAAAGGCCTTGTTTACAATGGAGGCAGAATTATGTTGTTTGACACATGCGCTGTCTCCGGTTCTTGACTTGAGCGCCGTCTCTGCGTCGACAGGCTGTCAAGGCTTTGATGAGATCGAGACCCGCACGTTCTATGCTTGTTGTACGAGGCACGTTGTTGTTGTTGTTGTTGTTGTTGTTGTTGTTGTTGTTGTTGTTGTTGTTGTTGTTGTTGTTGTTGTTGTTGTTGTTGTTGTTGTTGTTGTTGTTGTTGTTGTTGTTGTTGTGGTTGTTGTTGTTGTTGTTGTTGTTGTTGTTGTTGTTGTTGTTGTTGTTGTTGTTGTTGTTGTTGTTGTTGTTGTTGTTGTTGTTGTTGTTGTTGTTGTTGTTGTTGTTGTTGTTGTTGTTGTTGTTGTTGTTGTTGTTGTTGTTGTTGTTGTTGTTGTTGTTGTTGTTGTTGTTGTTGTTGTTGTTGTTGTTGTTGTTGTTGTTGTTGTTGTTGTTGGTGTTGGTGTTGGTGTTGGTGTTGTTGTTGTTGTTGTTGTTGATTATTTTATTTTGTATCGCAGACCAAACGGGTAATGATGTCCAACTTTATGATGGCAATCAAGTGACGGCCAAAAGCCAAGAATACATCGCATGTTCAGGAGAGTCCGAGATGCGCTTCACTTCCAAGTGCAAAGCTACTACAGCCATGCAGTTGACAGCATGAAACAAGGTGGAGGACACCGTGTTCGGAAACAGTGACCTTTCTACAACCATCCACGGTTGGTAGAGGGTTGTAGAAAGGTCACTGTTTCCGAACACGGTGTCCTCCACCTTGTTTCAAGGTGTCAAACCAACAAAATGTGTGAACTAAAACAAGGTTTATCCAATACAGTCATGTAGTACCAAGACTCCAAGAGTATAATTATAAGCTCCCAGCTCTACTCTTGGTAGTACTAGATCATAAACAACTAACTTGTCACTTGACGATTCTACGCAACTTTACCAACATGGTGTGCGTCCGGGTACCTGCAGTGCGCGTAGTGATTGAAGAATTACTCCATCTTCTAAGAACATCATGCGGAGGTCTTTCTGATTCACCAGGCACATCGTGTGAGAGTCTCTGCCTCTCGAGCACTCTGATAATTTTGTGATCTGGGAAAAGCGCTCCGTAGAATCATTCTCCCGGCTCACCTGGGCGCATTTCACTTCTCGATCCAAACGGATGCCAATACTTTGTTTCGTGTTCGTGTCGACTGACCGATATGGAGTGCGGGGGCAACGACCGTGAAACGGCTGAGGAAAAACTGAATCCAGGGTTCGATGTAGAGGAAGACAGGGAACAAATTTCTCCAGTGGATACCCGTTAGCGACAGGACGCACGCAGGCTTCCATGTTCAAAAGTCATTGCCTTTACTGGGACATTTAATTGGGATCAATGGTTTACAGGCACATTAGCTCACATCATCTCCTGTATTGAATTTCTGTAGCCGTAGAAACCTGGTATGTATAATAATGTCACGGGGTCGCGGTAGAGAAACCCGATCTACAATTCCTCCGGTGGCAAACCTGATATATGTACGTTTACAGTATGTACTGCGTTTCGATAGTGGGAACAAGACCGCATATTCATATTCATGTATATACAAGACTCCAGGTGCCAGGCGATAGAAACAATACCGGTACAGTCAACTTCGCTTATAACGACACCCGGCGGGGCATTTCGCGAAGTGTCGTTATAACCGAAGTCTCATTATACATGCATGTGTTACAGTTGGATGGGACTTTGCTCTGGGCATGAAAATTCTGTCGTTATTCGCGAATTGTCGTTATATCCGCAGTCGTTATTAGCGAAGTTGACTGTATTGGTGAGGCGTTGATATGTTTGTGCATGTACGAGTAGTCTACTACTAGTCGATACGTTCGGTAAACTGCATGACGAGTGATCGATGTTCAATGTGCTGAGCCGTTTTACATAATATGGAAGAGATGGGATCCAAGTGGAAAGATGCTGTAACTTAAAGTTTCATGCCGAAGCAATCATCGGACAACGTTTTGTTTAAACCTGGAATACATGTACATGTATAGACATGAACACGCCAGCGGAGTTGGGATGGCCTCAGCATCATGCACAGGACACCTGGTACTGCTTTTCTTTCAACTGGAACGTGAGTGAGTAGATACAATAGGTCGGGCAGTTTTGAAAAACGGGGAGACATAGAATTATCACAATGTAGATGTACGTGTAGATGGGGTACATCTGCCAAAGCTATAAAGGATAGGCTAACTCTCCGGCAGGCACAGATGTATAATACACCTGTATTAATCGTGTGAAACACTGCTCTGGATAGGGTAAAACCAGTGTCCAATGCCGTGGTTCATGGAATGCTTGCCCGTTGCCGCCGGCACACTTTAAGGCAGTCATCATTCACGCATCAGGAATACCTCCTCCACGCTCTCACACCTCTCTTTCTTTCTCTCTCTCTCTCTCTATCTCTATCTCTCTCTCCTCTCTCTCTCTCTCTCTCTCTCTCTCTCTCTCTCTCTCTCTCTCTCTCTCTCTCTCTCTCTCTCTCTCTCTCTCTCTCTCTCTCTCTCTCTCTCTCTCTCTCTCTCTCTCTCTCTCTCTCTCTCTCTCTCTCTCTCTCTCTCTCTCTCTCTCTCTCTCTCTCTCTCTCTCTCCCTCCCTCTCTCTCGGCTAGCGAATACGGTAGGCAGCAGCCGGCTAATGCTATTATTGAAGAGCTGATAACAAGGCCTTTATGGCCAAGCGACAGTACACCTTGTACAACAAGTTCAGCGGACTATTTCTAAAGCTGTCCATGCCACGATTCGTTCCAGCACTTGCATCGCCACTCGGCCAAGCCGGCTGGCCTGGCACTATTCGTGGAGGAGTAAAGGGCCCATGGGCTAGTACATGTACATGAAAAGAATGGCTATGAGGTTGTACTTGGGATTTACATGGGGATACTGACTGATCAACAGAGACTATCTCAAAAATGGAGTTATCATTGTGTGCAGATTGTAAAGTTTCATTTTATTTTTATTTACATTTTTTTGTTTTGTTTTGCTTTGCAGTTGTTGCCGCGGTCAGGCCAGTGAAATCATGTTCTGTGATTGCCCGTATAAGAGGCTTAAGAAAAAAAACTTGTGGTTTACATGTAATATGTGCAGTACAATACACAATCCATGTACAGTGCTGCTCAATGAAATCCGATCGGGTGAATCAAGTAATAGTTGCTATAGTACGCGTATGCTCCTAGCACCAGCTCACATCCTAGTGGTCACCGGCCTAGGACTGCACAGCTCCTGGCCTGTATGGAATTCACGCCCTTGCTCGGATTTCATTGAGTGACGCTGCTGACTGAGCTCAAAATTTCCAAACATCTCCGGAACAGTCCGTGGGAGCCCTATTATAAACGTGGTAAGGTACCAAGTCTAAGGAGTAAGGATGATACGTGTCGTCGGTATGATGGTGTTGTAGGTTGTCATCATGCCATTCATGGCACTCACTGACTCAGGT